CTATATAAAGTTAATCTGTTGCTCCCGTTGTTGTGTTATTAATATAAGTATCCATTTACATAATTTCCCACATTAACACAACAACTATACGAATACTAACCTAACCCGATTTATCAATAAGTGGGATATAACTAAAAGGGAAAGTCGAATATTCAGTTGTTAGAACAAGTTAACATTAAATTGTAGACAATTTAGACAGTAAAACAGCGTTAACATTAATAAACTTTCCCAACCTTTCCCTGTGTTCCAAAAATTAAAATCAATATACTAAATAACAAAATGTACAGTAATTAGGTCGAGTAAGTAGAGTGAAAGGTTACAGTTAAGAAATTTAAATGTTTCTTTACCTATGCTAACTTTACATTGCCTATATAGAACAAGATAATACTTCCAACTGTTGTTACCTCAATGACAATACCGAGCTGCTTGCTTCTCGTGCTTGACGGGACCTGCTGCTTGGTTGCCTCTCCCTGCTCAACTCACAGGTCAGCCAGCGCAAGTAAACTTCATTTCCCGCGCTAGTAACTTGACGACCAATCATTTAGCTAATCTCCTGCCTCAATTACTGCCCAAAAGAAACTTGTATTTATTGTTAGAAAAATATAAATGCAATAATATATCAAATAACCTTTGAATAAATGTGGTCTCATATATTGAGGTGCAATAGCCAAATCTTATGATGTCAGAATAGAAGCTCATAGATTGTTGATATAAAGTTATTTGTTGGATACTGAGGTTGTTTGACATGATTAAGGGTGAGTCAGCTCATACAACGGGAGTTTTTGTTTGCAGTTTGATCTTATAGTGTAGTAATTGTTAATGTTCTACCTAATACTGTCTTTGATTAAAGAATCCCTTAATCTTTATATAGTGTTAGATTATGAGCTAAGCAATGGATATTGGTAAATAGTCCATTATTTTTTTTTAATTACTAGAGGATTTAGATGAATTTCAAATCATAAATTAGATGTAATATAAAGGAAGTGCCCATTAATTAAATTCAAATATTTACAATATTAAGAGTACCGCATCTGCTATCATGATGCATGTGGTGGTGATAGGGAATAGGTACGCTTGCTTTGCGTGTGTGTGTGTGTAGTTAGAAGTCACAGGGACATGTCATTACCCATAACTATTTTGTATGTTTTAGTTTACTTTACTTGTAGTTATTTTTTTTTACTTTATTTACTCGTGGTTTTCCGGGGTTTTTTTTGTTGTTGTTGTTACTGGTTGAATCAGTGAACTTTATTAGTGTTTGGCGTTTTAAAGCATCTTTCACCTACAAATTGACAATAACACATTTGCTGTAATCAGACATATCTAGATGCCTCAACAATTGCAACCCAAGTTGCAATTTCAAATTCTGTGTTATTACTAAGGAATAACGAAGTTTCTGGTGCACTCTAAGATTAAGAGAAAACGGAAAACTCAGGTGTCCTGAAGCGAGAGAAAACAGACTCCTATGACGGGTCACTCAAATAAAGAAGGCATTGCTACATGTTTTGTGGACTACCCACTGTACAATATTGAGCGTACCATTTTCATCACTTTGTAATAAACCTAGCCATACCTATGTGTGTTTCTGATAATTACCATAACATTATATCTTTAGTGGGTCTGAATGAAAGCGGTTGTACAAGCACTCACACATGCCACTCAGAATGACAGACTTGACAAGTTTTACCAACCATAAAGACAGTTGAAGTTTTAAACATCCCTCACAATGGATCTTGAATATTCCAACTGTAATCAGACATATCTAAGTTGCCTCAACAATTGCAACCCCAGTTGTAATATCAAATTCTTTGTCATTACTAAGGAATAACGAAGTCTTGGGTGCACTAAGACTGAGAGAAATTATTGCTACTTCTAAATTTACATCTCCTTAATATCAGTGAAGACTAGAATATTCTTTCAATACATACTGTATAGTACTACTTCGCGAGAGCATACATCACGTTACAGTAATCACTCAAATCATTATAAAGACAGATGCACACCATCTATTTTTGACCCTGAGGAGGCTAGTTCCACAAGGTTAGGTGTATAATGTAATAAACTCCCATACTACATTAATCAATCTATGAGAGCATATGTAAACAAAGAAGCATATAAAGCACCAACATTGTTTTGAGCGGATGGCAAACAAGATAAAAGAGCGCATAACCATTGTCGCAAACTCATAACACTTTTGGCTGCCATGTTCATGAGGCTCGTTGAATCTTCAAAATGAAACTTTTTAAGACATTCTTAAATGTCATAGTTATGGAATTTTACTAAATATTTTTTTTTCCACTGCCACAGCCCAAGGAGAGGGGAGGGTGAGGTTCTAATGAGTTGCGAGGTCTGCCCCCTACAACTGCTAGCATGTTTTGGCAAGATGCACACACAGTTACTTTAAAAAAATTACATGTGGCTAAGTAGTAACCTTCATGGATGTTATGTTGAATAAAAATAAATTACATCTCCCTGACAAAACATTATAATAAATATCATACTACAGTACATCAGTAGTCTACTAGCTTACGGTATGTCCTATGCATAACCGAATTAAAACAATAACCAATAGGAAATGCTTGCGGCAGGGAGAAATGCTGTAGACTGATTTATCACTGTCATTCACATGTTACCTGTTCTTATAATAAACATAATTTGCCAACTTCCTTGGTATCTTTTTATTGCAAATTACATGTTAATAATTTGATGCTAATGTAAATACTGTACTCTGTAGAATAAAATACATCCCTTATTTATTGGGTCATGAAAGTTTCCCCATAATAAAAGGACACCATAATGTGACTTCAGTCCATCTCCCTATCACCCTTCGATTATGTGAGAGCTGCATAAAAGAAAATAATAATAAATATAAATAATAATAAAAACAATAATAATCAAAATAAATAAATAAAATAATTATGTACACTGTATATTGCTTGAACCTGTAGCACAAGCTGGGAATACCACCCTAATGTGCTGTAACACATTCTAAGCTTATTTATGTTTTGCTCTATGTATTTAAATCCTTGCTTAAAACGTACTGTGTTGTAACTGCACAAGTAACTCCTTAAACCTTTCCCTTAGACCCCAAACACCCTGCTCAACCCCCATAGCCTGCCACCTGTTCACACACCGGCCCCCCTCTCCCTCATGAATACTTTGGTGTCAAGAGTCAATACTTTCGGAGTTCACACCTAAAAACAAGGGTGGATTGACAAAACTTAAGTATACCAGGCGGAAAAATCCCCAATTGTACATCTGATTAATTTGTCTGCAATTACGTAGTAGCAAAAACGTACACAAGAGATGCCTTAGCATTTGCAGTAATTACAAGATGGAAAGTTGAAGAGGTAAATAATAGTAATAATTGTAGTGCTTGAAAGACAATCATAAGATTGATTCCATGGGAGAGGGAGTTCCTAGTAGTGCTGGAGCATGCATGCCATTAAAGAAGACAGTGAGAAAAAATCCTTCCTTTGTACTACAGTACAGTACAGTACTTTGTAGTAATGGGCTTTAAAGTGGTACTTTAAAATAGCTATAAAAGTATTCTGTAAATGGTTATACTGCAATTGGTTTAATTTTGAGCCTTAGGAAACACTCCCTGGAAAATCCTGACTTATTTTCCCCTCATTTAGTCTGGTTTAAAGAGGGGTTTACTTTACAGCCTGCTCATTTGGTTTTAGCCATATGAAACTGATTGTTGCACTTTAGAATTTGATTCAGGTTACCACTAAACAATATTATTCAGCTTAGGGAACTTTCAGGATCCACAGGCTTAAAATCTATCTCAGTTAATCCTTTCATACTGTTTGTTGTATGATTGAATTTTATTCAGGTTGGGGATACCTCCAGGAGCCAAAAGGCTAGAAATAAAATAAATACAAGAGACAAATATATACAGGTAATACAGGATACTGTAATCAAAATGCAGTTTAAAACTGGGATTGTTATTTCTTTAACAAATTAAAATTAAGTGTTTTGAATAACAGGAAAAATAGACTACCAACTTTGCAAAGTAGATGGTAATTTAGCCACTGGCCATTGAAAAATGAGAATACTATATATTATCCTGTAAATATGAAGGGGTACGCTTATGCATAAAACAAATACATAACCATTTTATTTCAAGAAAATGTTCACTGAACTTCATCTTTACACAGCTAACAATTACACTGTACAGTATGTCTCTCTTTACATATTTTACCCACTTGCATGAATATAATGCCAAGTAATTCATATTTCCAACACAGGAAGTTTCATATTCACATTTCCATGGCTTAAAAAGGTTTATACTTTAAATTGTATACAGTGGTCCCTCAGTTAACTAACGGTTCGGTTAACGAATTACCTTCCATGAGAATCTTCAATTCGGTTAACAAACAAAAATTTGATAAACGAAATCCTTACGAAAATCACGTTTTGTTGTGAGCATCAGCTGATCAGCTGATGGGCTAGTCTGCCAATTCAGTAATCTGTTCTATGTTTACATTCGTTTCCAATGGAGTAAATATCATTAAGTTGTGGTCTTTAATATTTTTGCATGTTTTATATTAAAATTATTAGTCATTTTAACATATATTTAACATAGTTTGTTGTGCTCCCATCAGATGCGTGAGTCGGTCACAAGGCGTCAATTGGGCTTTGAAAACAGTGGGGAGATCATCTATTTTGTTGGCGTCTTGAATATTTTTGCATTTTTCATTGAAATTATTGGTCATTCTAAAATTTAGTTAACATACTGATAATATATAGTGCAGTGCAGTGTTGATTTAAATAAATTAATCTTGAATTACACTTAGTGAACTTAAAATTTTATTGGTGAAAATACTGCATCAAGCATGGGTCCCTGAAGGTGATTTCTCCTCCATCCCCACTTCCTTCTTTTCTCCCTTCTCCTCCACCCCCACTTCTAATCCCCATCATCATCATCAACCAGGAACCTTCTACATACACACCTCAAAGTAAGTGTACTTTAATGCATTTTTTTTTACTTTGTATATGTACTTTTTGGGGAGCTGGAACCAATTACTCAATATCCCATTGAAACAATGGATTCGGTTAACGAACGACCTTCTGGAACGAATTGTGTTCGTTAACCGTGGGACCACTGTATTTACATCTCCTCAATGCAATGTCTTAAAATCCATTAAATATATAACAGGCAAAGTTGTGAATTTATGTATAAACAAGTTCAAAAGTAGTAGTGTTTGACTTTCAATTAATGAGAGAGTGCAATGTCTGAGAAATAATTGAGAATATCATCAATTGAAAACTCAAGATTGATCATGGCCCCTGGATAGCAGCGGTGTATTAGATCTTCTATCAGCTTATATTGCCGGATAAACTCCTCTTGCATGGCACGCCACACAACCTACAAAATAAAATTAAGACTATAATTTTTAAAAAGTTAAGGACAATTGTTACATATATCCACTGATTCTGTGATACACAAATACTGTATAATAGTGTATGAACAGTAAATGAACTTGAAAAAATCTAAAACCCTGACCAAATAAATGTTTTGTAATTTGCATACAAGTTTAACTTACCATACTTTGGTAATTTCTTTCTTCACAGCTCTATGTGTCTCATATTTATTCTGTACTCTTGATAATTCTTAGATTACTTTAAAAAAATTCCTAATATGTTGGCACTGTTTTCTGCATCAAAATATTGTTTATGTAAAACATTTAATATTTACTTATGTAAACAGCAAAAAAATTCTTGACACCACAAATGTTTTATATGAGCACGTACTGTACCAGTGTATTTCCTCACTGATGCATATACTGACTAATTAATACTTGTGTAAAAGGGATGAACAATTCTTTAAACATCACATATTTTATAAAAGAACATATTAAAAGTTGCCTGAAATAAGAGCTTGAAACGGTGAGTGTCTGATAAGAAACCATAATGGGACATGCCTGGAGTAAGTTGCCTTCCTCGGACAGATGCTTCTCTACCTTCTTGTATAACTGGTCCAAGCCTCGCTTCACCTCTTTTCCAGGATATTCTCTAATGAATTGGAAAAAGTAGTCACTTAATTATACTAATACTAGTGCAGTTTCTCAGTGGTTTTTCTCTGGCAGAAGAAAAAACTGCATTATTTTAGCAAATTGTCATCACTACAAATAATTTTGTTTAAAAAAATCTGGGTTTTACTTGTAAATCAAAGCATAAGACAAAATGTAATTTCTCGCAAGTGTAATCTTTTGTAAATCAAACTTTTGTACATACAATAAAAAAAACAATTTGGTGAGAACTGAAGTGGGAGGCTTTTCAGCATGATATAGATACTCCTGTACTATGGACCAATATGTTATGTGAAAAAGAAAAAAAAATTGGTGTGAAAAGTGTTTGTTTTACTGTAGAATAATATGCTATGTAGAAGTATTTACAAAGTAATGTGTAGAAATGTTTCAATACTCTTTGGTGCTTATATGATGGCTCTTAGTCTTTATCAGAATTGTTTGCATAAAATCACCATATAAAACTCACTTGATAACTTTCCGTAGTTCCTGTTTACTGAAAGCTAATTGATAGCCAACTTCTGACTCCTTGACTCCGCTGGCAACTTTATTTGTCACACCATCAAAAAATTGCTGCAGGCAATGTGAAAAGTTGTCTGTTAGTACAGTACTTCTATTAACTAGTGATAAACATTTGCTTCATAAACTAAATATTTGTTTAAAAAATATTAACACCTTTATGAAAACTAGCTCGGTCTAACAATACAGGTGCTCCTCTACCTGTACTTACGAATGAGTTACATTCCTGAGGCTAGTTCGTTAATCCAGTTGTTCATAAGTCCAACTTTACTCGTGTAGATACAACATTGTAAAAAATAAAAAGATAAGGTCTATACAGTGCGGCTATACCCTACAGTACAGCCTTAAAACCTGACAGACACTTCTCCTTTTCGACAATGTATGTTCAATCTGGTATTTTCTTCAGTATAATCAAGTCTCATCCACATTAAGCACCTGCTCTGTCAGGTAACCCCCCCGCCCCCAATGATGCTGTTCATATCTCCAAATTTGTAAGTCGAATGTTCATAAGTAGAAGAGCACCTGTACTACACTGGCAAGATAACTTTCAAACATACATTGAGCTTCTCAAGGGGTCTGCCAAAATACTGTGTGACGTAAGCACTGAGAGCCTCTTGATACCGCTGTTTAGCCTCCTTCTTCTGTGTGTCCATTCCTGGAAGCTTGAGTTGGAACATCAGCTGGTGCAGGACATGATAATTCTCTGGTAAAAAAGAGATAACTTAACACATTCCTGAAGACAACATTTTACTTTAAACTCTATATAAATTTGTATTTTCACAGTACGTATTGTATAATGTAAAACAGCACTATTTCTTCCTTCTTACTTACTGCTGTTTTTTGCTATGTAAAACAAAGTACAGTATCATGAACAATCTTACCAAGTACAGTGATATCTCCGTGAGCCGGAACAATTGGTGCAGAGCACTTCCGGGAATGAGAGATTTCTGGGAAACGAGACCACTCTCCCAAAGCCGGAAAAATATCCCTCATCCCCAGAATTTTCCGGGTATCAGGAAAAATTTTTCAGAATGTTCCAGAAAATGTGCCCCTCGGAAAATCATTCCCAAAGCTGTAATTTTCCGGAAAATTCTGGCATTGGGAACGATTTTCTGATAAAATTTCAATTCCAGCTATCGGAGAGTTCCGGGTTTGAGGGATTTAGGCTAATGGAGATATTACTGTACCTGTATAGGTATTTCCTGATTTACCAAAGGGTTCCATTCCTGAAATTTTTCATAAATTGGGAAAAATTGCAATTAAATTTCTATCTTCATGAGCAACTCGTGTGGAAGTAAATAAGGCATTATGCTGCTACCTAGGTATCACACCACCACCACTCTGGGCCAATAGCTGAACAGGTATCCTTCACTTAATGAATGGGTTAAGCTCCTGGAAAACCACTCGTTAAGTGAATTTCCGTAACTCAAATAACAGAACAAATGGGAAAAATAGGGTTCAGTTCCCAATAACAAAAAAACAATATTATACCACAAAACCATGAAGTTTGATCATGAAAAAAAACTACCTTTAGTAACTAATGAAAAATAGTACCCATCTACTGTAATTTACTACCTAACACATTAAAAACATTAATAAAATACTATCTACATGAAAATACAGAATGCACCTAAAACCATTAAGGAAAAGCTAAATGAAAGATTAACCCAACCTCTATTTGCATAAGACGCAGCCGTGTGGCCTCAAAACTCGACATATCAATTCAGCCCAGAAGGGGCACTGCCTTGCTTCCCCCCTCCAGCTCTCCCGCTCAGCGTGTTAACTTTTGCACACAAAGAAGTGTTTATTCCCTTTATATTTTTTTACCTTATGATAGTCATTTCTTTTACTTGTTGCACATTACATATGTGCATGTAAAAGAAAAAATGAAGTTTATCTACCCAAAATTACGAGTTGAATAAAAACCATAACGTAGCTCTCCTACACAGTTTCCTATATTCTAGAGTCTAGACTGATGCTCATATTAAACAGAGTTGGATTTAAGACCATAGTTTAACTGATTGGGACATCCAGATACTGTATAGCTAAATCCAAATAATGATGTTCAAAACAGGTTTTTTTTTTTTTTACTGGTAATATCCCACCTGGGCACAGGTCATCGACCCACAATGGGGTCTAAGGGGCGAAAATATAAGAGTAAAAAAAAAATATAAAATAGAACATTTAATTTAGGTTTTTCTATCATAGCATACTATAAAATAAAGGGTCAATTTCCTATATACAGTACAGAATAAGTCTAAAAGATAAGACACTTCTCTATGTATGATAACTAGCCCTGTGTGGTAGTTATTTTGCCAGACACATTTGCAGTGACTTACATGTGTAGTTTCTATGTCTTAAGTTCATCTTGTAAAGGATTCAGTTGACTCACCCATTTTTATCACTTCTGGAGGAGTTCTCTGGTGTTCACTGGCTACCCTTGGTATGTACTCAAACATTGCCAAGACAAGTCGAACATACCACTTGTCTAGGTCTGCCCGACGTTCACTTTTCTTGAACACACTTTCTGCTGTTTTTGCAAATTCCTGCAAATTTTATTGTTACTCAGTTTCCAATATAAAATGAAAATTAGTACAGTATACTGTACAGGTACACAACATACAGAATACACACATGATCACATAAATACATGTGTATTCATTCTTACTATTACTTTGTAAGTGCAGTTGCCTATAAGTATATGTACACACCTATGTTTCTTGTGTTGGTTTAGGGTGGAACTTTTAAACCATAATTTCACCATGATCTGCAATTTAGCTTTATGCATTTGAAAACGTTATTCAAGAGGCTCGTAAACAAAGTGATATATCTTTTGTTTGTATAATAAGTGTCATGGTGCCTAGGGTTTAATGAAATTTTACATTCAATCATTTTAATAATACAGAATGCCCAAAAAATTGCATAATTTTACCTGTAAATACTAAATGAAAAATCAAATTAAATGAAATATCTATTCTTCTGGATGATACAGATTGCATCATTGGACAGTCTACAGATGAGAATTGGACCGGATGAGCAGCCAACAAGAGATATTATTTCACCCTTCTTTGAGGACTCTGTACTCCCTGATTGTGGGACAGAACAACTGAGAGATACGGGTAAATGTATGTAACTTTCCTCACCTCAAAATTTATAATAAATGGAATGATGCCACACTTCTTCCTTGCAACACGACATTCTTGGATAGACTGAAGCTGAGAATTCATGAAGCGATCGAAATTGCGTTTTGCTTGCACCAAACATGATCCAAATGTAGTACACAGGAAGGAACCAGTGTCTTCGGCAGTTAGTACATGCTCACTCAGACGTACATATATGTACAGACAACAACTGAAATGCAATCTTACATTAAAACATACAGTATTCCAATATTTAAAAAATAAACTAAAATTAAAATAGGAAACTGATTAGAAAATTCATTTTTTACCATCTTACAACCCGTTTCCGGCTATAAAGCAGGATAGCAAGGAAGGAGTTCATCCCTGATTCTTGGCAATAGCAGCAAATGGCTTACCTCATTCTTTAGAATATACAGTATACTAAATTTTATGAATTAGCATGGTCATATATACAGTATTTATAAATAAGGAACAAGTTGTTCAATACTGGTTAAAAGTGCATCTTTAGAATCATAAATTAACTTACTAAGAGTCAGCACGGTCATAAGTATTTATGAATGAAGCAAGCTGCTGCTCAAGAGTGGTGAAAAGTGCAGCCATCATTGACCGCACTTCTCTATTGAATGGCCGTCCATGCCCTGACCCTGGTGTTCCTATAAGCCCTGCACCAGATGAGGTTCCTGCAGACCCACTGCTCTCTTCACTTCCACTAGAGCCTGGGGTGCTGGCAACTGAAGATGGTGCTTTCTGTATCACAGGTTACAAAAACATTTTATTTATATCATCTTTTTCTTACTACAGTAATTTTTTTTAAATGTCGATAAGCAAATATGACAATATAAATATTTTTAACATGTACAGTATAAGTATTTCATGTCAAATACTGGTACAGTATATAAAAAACATGCATATCATAGTCATACAATAATAAAAAAAAATTGCAATTGTGTGTAAATGAGGCAGAAAGTCAGATCAGCAACCTGGGACTTGGTCACAATTTTTGTGATGCCATATGGCAGCAGGGTCTACCATTAGACAACACATTATGCTTCCAATACCTTCTCAGGCGGTAGTACCTCCCTGTTTGATAGCTGCCTATTGCCTATCATAAATGTAATGCCTCTTCACTATCTGTGATAAGAACAGTGTCATTTGCAAAGTGAATATTTGATATTACTTTATCATTCACTTTTAGTCCTTCATTTTCACGGTCTAAATGTAATGGGAGAGTGTTTGTCCATGGGAGATGAGACGATGAGATGCACAGTTTAAACTCTCTGAAACTTTTCCTAGTACGTACCTGGAAAAAATCCGGGATGTGAGATTTTTTCCATGTTTGAGAGAGTCGTTTTGTTACCTGGAAATTACTCATCCAGGGAAGACCGTTGCTCCAATTTTTCTGACTAATGGGGATATCACTGTACTCATGGCAGGAAAAGTTGAAGTGTGTTTTTCCGACTATTTTTCTCATATTTTTAATTGATTTAACCGAGTACTGTATACACAGAAGTACAGGAAAAAAGCAACACTTACCTCATTACCTGTAGCATTTAGGTTGAAGAAGGCAATGCAGAATTCTTGCTCAGAAAGACAAACTGGTTGCAGTTCACTTAGCACACGCTCAAAGATCTCATCAAACTTTTGTCTCTCTTGCATGTCAAGCTGAACCCATAGAAAATCACATTCCATATAAATTCCAGAATTTCCTGCTTGGGAAAAAGTACTATAGGTATTAATTTTTTTTATAAACAGATGTTAACTGAGCTATTTAACTAAACTCTGTACGCAGTTTTACACACAAAAAGTAAGGACATGCATTTACAACAAACCTAAAGCATCTCTTTCCCTGTCCTTAACTGTCATTGTTGAAGATAAAATATGTATTATTTGCAGAATAAAATGTAGATAAACTGCAGGGGTGAAATACAAATACAGTACCTCTGAGCCCCATTGGTCACGGTCAACACCTAGCAATGCCCCAGTGTTGGTGCGTGTTCCCAGTGTCTGTGCTCCATGCTTTATTTGGGATGTCAATTTTCCTGCCACACCTGACATGCTAGCAATATCCTGACTTGATCCACTTCCACGTACTGCAAAAGATAAGACACCGGTAAAATCATATCATTCTGCTTACATTCACACAAATTTGAACATTCTATTTAGTAGACCCTCATTGTTGTGTGATTCGATACTGCTCTTTCGATATAGTACTGTGGCAGCCCAAATCACTCCCACTTTTTCTTATTGCACAATCAAACTCCATTATTTTGCTGTGTAAGCCCAGAAAAATTTAAATACAATAAATAGACGATGTTCATCACTGGACAACAAATGTTTGCACTGTACAGTAAAGGGTATTTATAAAGAGAATAAAAATTTCATTTAACTGTACCCACCAATACTATGAGCATAAAGAGAAAGGAAATTAAAACTAATGCATCTGGTGCTACTGAGAAGAGATGGCATGCTACTATTTCTGATGAGAAAATTACAATATCGAGTACATCCCCTTCAGAATTCCAAGACGTGCAATTACAGTAAAAGTCCGAAAATCCGGATGCCAGAAAACCGGACCACCCGAGAATCCGGACTTTTCGAAAACTCAAACTTGTTTTTGTTTTTGTTTTTTTGGGGTTTTTTAGCGGGCGTTTGTGTGTACAGTATTTGAGTATACGTGAGCATCACAGCTACACAGCGACAACAAGCGACCACGCGGTCGCCACTTTAAAACGAGCAATCAAACTGTGACAACGTATGCAATTTTGAGTCCTACTCTTTCCATTTACAGAGTACTGTACAAGCCCATAATAATGGCTCCCAAAATAGATAAACTTTGTTGTGCGAAAAGAAAGAAGAACACGTTGAAATTGAGTGACAAACTTGAAATAATTAAGAAAATAGAACGTGGTGTGAACAATACTGTTCTTATGGAAACATACGACATTGGAAAGTCTACAATTTATGATAGAAAAAAAGGCAAAGAATAAAATTCTAGAATTCACAGCTTTTTCTTTAAAACTGCTCATTTTGATAAATGAAACATGCTATATTTGCTAATGAATAAACTATCAAAATGTACCTGTTCATCTCTTCTTTATTCCTCCTTAAATTTGAATTTTAAAAGTACTGCCTGAGAATCCGGAAAATCCGGACCGACCCAATCCCCAAGCAGTCCGGATTTTTGGACTTCTACTGTATTTTTCTTCTCAACTGTGACTAGTGTACTCTACAAGTCTAATATGCAAGTGAATACAATATTTAAAGGTAAGAAACAGAGATATCACAATATTCTTACTGAAGAGCTAGCAGGAGGAAAAACTAGCATGTGTTATTGGTAAGGAATCAAATAAAAATAGGGTAAGAATGTCCTGGAATGTAGCTCAGCCATTTTTTACCTTTTAATGTATTTATTATTTCCCCCATTATCAGTTCACTGGCCATTTGGGCAGTTGGTTTGTTCTTTGTTACTTTATTATGACCTTTATAGTCTATTGTTGGTACAGGAGGAAACCACAGTACCCAGGGAAAACCCATGATGTTTGGTTGAGTCACACTGGATAGCATCCTTCTCGAATCTGTCCTGGTTGTTCTGCTTTTTAAAAACACCTTAATATATTTATTTTCAGATTTAAATTAACAGTAACACTTTTCACCATTGATTGGATGGCTAGTAACTGAGCGGTCAGTCATTTATCTGTAACACATTAGATTTAAACCATAATACTGAACATTATTACATACACTAACAAAATATCAAATGAGATCAAATCAAATTGACCATCAATTGAAAATAGGTCACAGCATTTATCTTAGATACTGTACTGAAATTATAAGGAGAGATTAAGAATATACCAGTAGTTTTGAACAAGTAAACAATCTAGTGACAATACAGTACAGTACTTTAATAAACTGTGCCCCACTAATAACTCAAACTCACATCTCCTTCCACCAGAGATGCGTTGTCTTGCTTCCTCAAAGAACAGTCTTATATCACGTTCATAAAGCTTGCTGATGGAGGTAGCATAGGTTTTGTTTAGATGTTGATATGCACGGTGATCAAGAGCTCGAATCCAGTGCATGAGTGGGGTGTAAGGAAGCAGCTCAGTGTGGATACTTCCATGGCGAGGCAGTGTAAGCTGCTCAGCATGTAAGCTCAATGTTTCTCCTGGATCATTGCCCTTTAATTGAAATACATGAGCATTACATTAAATGGCTAATTACATTAACATTATGTTTTAAGGTAATATAAAGTAAATTTGAATTTATTAGACAAACCTACTCATGTTGGTGAGTTATACAGTATATCAATACATTATATTAATACAGTAATCATATCTAACTCACCAAATGAATGAAGAGATTATTTAGATGTCTTGATACAATTTGACTGAATCTGCCTCTCAACTTATCAAATCTCTTCTTTTCATCTTGAACTGCCTGAAAAGAAATATACAATAAAAATGACCTATGATGTCGAATAATGAAGTGCAATTAAGTGAAGTAACTCAACAAACCTGTAAACTAAACATAAACAAAGAATTATTTCTGTATTATATCTACAATATTCATATTTCTTTCTCTAAATCAGCTCAATCTTCCCTATAGTACACTCACAATACCTCATACAGTATACTGGTTGGATTCTTGTTCTTACATTTTAAATACCTGTACGTCATTTGCCTTTTCATATGATCAATGAATACCTGTACTCTTCACCAAAAAAGAACTTGTACTTTCAGCAGCTTCTTTTACTGTTTTGGGTAATGCAGCTAATAAAAAACAAATTATATACTGGATACATGGAAACATGGAAACTTCTCTGAGTAAAGAGCTTGATATCTAAAGAAAACTTAAAGAATTATCTGTTGAAGAGATGCATATTAAAATGATTCACCTCTTAACCAAAAGATATTAGCTATTGAGTTCATGTAGAAATGGGTCGGAATGACTGCATCTTTCTGCTTTAAAACAGCTTGTCTAAGTTAATAAAATTCCAATAGCATCGGTCCTACAATCAACCTGGGCAAGAAATTCTAACAGAAAGTAACGAAAACAACTGTGTAAGTCAGAGCTTTCTTGTATACATTACCTAAATGGTTTGCCAAAATAAAATGAAAGGTAAAACTGTTTGAGCCAACAAATTATCAAGCTGTGAATTCATGCTGCAACACTGGTAATATAAGCTGGAAATAAACAAATACTGTATTACCTGTTTAACACTAAACCCTTCAAAGGGCAAAGTATCCCTTAGGGATTTTATGCTTGGTGTAAGAGGACATCAGCTAAGTCTCTCTCACTCAAGGGGATAAAGAAGACTTACTGGTATGTCACTAAATTAAGTAAAGAACTGTACACTGAAATAATCATTTGAATCACCTGTAACTGTGAAAGCTGTGAAGAAATTGGAGCATTGATGACTAACTGCAAGGCAGCTGCAGCCTGAATTGCCTGTGGAAGCATGCCAGCCTTGTTGAGGTCTGGCTCATACAAGTCTTTCACATAGTTTCTTGGCAAATCTAGCTGGTTCTGTAAGGATCAATTACAAAATTCTGTAATAATAAACACCCAAGCACACTAAAACAAACTTGACAGCAACTGTTTTACTTGGTGTCTGATAAAAATACTGCAGTGGTATTTAATGCAAAAATGTTCTGATTTTCTATTTTATTTTATTTACTTTTTAACGGGGATTAGCCCACCTGGGCACAGGTCACTGACCCACATCGGGGCCTGGGTGGCGAAAATGTAATAATAATAATAATAATAATGATGATAATAATAATAATAATAATAATAATAAAAATAATAATAATAATAATAATAATAATAATAATAATAATAAAAATAATAATAAAAATAATAATAATATTAATAATAATAATATTAATAATAATAATATTAATAATAATAATAATAATAATAATAAAAAAATAAAATAATAAATTAATAATGATAATGATAATAATAATAATAACACTAATAATAATAATAATAAAGGAATAAAAAAATGAAAAAAAGATCAAGTGAGAAACAATATGCAGTATATATGTTGTGTTGTCCATAGTAAGAGAAACAATTGAGACCCTGCAATTGTGTATAAATGAAGTAGAAAGTCAGATCAACAGTCTGGGACCTGATCACAATTATTGTGATGCCATATGGCAGCAGGGTCTACCATTAATTTCAAGATTAGGTATTCAAGTTAGGTATTCCTTACAAATAAGTCTGGGGTATTAAAGTACTGTACTGTCCATCATATTCCTGAGAATGCCACACCTAAAAACTGAATTTTACATAAAAATGTCACTTTGGCATCTATAATCTTTCATTCATAACTCACCATTTTTCTCATACAGAATTTTTTTGTATTAATTTGGAGAAAAGTGTGCTTCCTTTGAAACATAAATGGCATACGTACTGTATATATTTCAAAGATTACGTTAAAATCATAAATACAGTAAATATAGCATCTCACTGCCAGAGGAACACTTGAGACCATTCTGTTAAACTGTAGCACCTGAAACAAGTACAGTACAGTATCACTTTGGACTTCTGGTTTTTCTCATGTAAACTTATTATTGATCTTCAGAGTTAAGTCATTAACAATCAAAACTTCACACATAACCAGTACCTAAATTGAAAATCCTGTATCTGTATATTCATTAAATATTTTCTTGGTGTCAACTGTTTGAAATCTCACTGAAAATTCATGTCAATACTGTAGAATACTCATTTTCTCAACTTTTCTTGAGGTTTTCTGTCTCCCTTGATCTATGTAGCACAGATGGGAGTGGAAGAAAGATATGATTCATAGATTATTAGTTATACAAGCTGGAAAAAATATTAGGTAAAGATTATTCATGTCGGCAACTTTTCAAAAAAGGGGGAAAGTGAACTTGATGGAGTTTATTTTCACAAATCTATAAAGAACTTCCACAAAAATTATTTCATGAGTGAGTGATCATACAATCTCAAAATTAGTGAATCTAATAATTAGCAACCAAACTTACAATCAACCTATCAAGTTCTTCTAGTAACTTAGAGTTATTTGCATTTGTTTGTTCAATGGATGTATTCTTGTCTGCCATTTTCTCAATAGAGTCTTTCACATGTAACAAGATCTCATCATAGGAATCTAGTCGGGTTTCAATTTTTTCTGCTTCTGTATAAGCTGAATCAATCATCACCATCAAGGCCTCAACTTGAGCTTCTGAAGCCATCATACTGTGGATGTTAGCCTGAAAATATTTGCAGCAGTTAATTAGGATTGTACTGACGGAGTAGATACATGCAGAGTACAGTACATACTGTATGGCACAATATCATGCGAAGTTAGAGCATTTTGTGATATGCTGGATGCAATTGACTAAGATTTTTGTTGCTTAAAAATTAAGTTGTTTTGGGGGTCCTTAAAAAAGTTAGGATTTTTAAGTTCTGGTTTCTTAATTCCTGGATATTAATGAATTATTGTAATATTTTTAGCTTAAACCAGAGCTTTATGTGGTAGTCAACTTGAGCTATCTCCTGGTGTGAAAAGTAAAAAAAAATAGGATACTGTACCTCCTTAATTTCTAATCTCATAAAATTGTTCAAGAAAAAGTAATTATGCAAGAGGCAAAAAATTTCACTATAAAAATGCTGTCATTTAATTTGTGAAACTTGTTCCACTGATAAAGAAAAGTTAAAGGTATTTTATGTATAAAATGAATACAGTATTCCTAAATTCATCAATTTTAGAGTAATACTGCATGACTTTTACTCCAAAAAGATAAAATTCTAATCAGTAGTTCAGTAGGTTTTATTCTATGGGTGAAAAAAATAATACTACCGTATACTTATCACTTACACCATCAAGGACAGAGAGGTCACGTGACAGTTGTTCAGCAAAGGCCTCAGCATTGCTGACTGCAGAGTCACACTGTTCCATAAGTCTTTCCAAATCCATCTGTTCTTTCTCTGAAAGTGCTCGATAATCCCCATCATCTTCAAGAGCAGCATCCACATTGTCAAGTGCTGAAAAACAATGTGCAGTAATACATGAATAATGTAAAAATTAGGTTTGAAAAATAATGATGATCATATTACTTCACTTACATGTGTATCTAACAGTCATTATTCATTATAATTTCCACTAAATCAAAGCAGGATTCTCCCTAAAAAAATAAACAATGCCATCACATCATTTTTTTTCTTTGTCCTATCTCATATCTGACAACTCACTCCCCACGGTGTTCCTCTCTGAAAGGACAGCAAAGACAGGACCCATTACCTGTGCTCTCACCATACATGGAATGTTTTTTGTCCCTCCTGTCTCCCTGTTTCCCATTTCTCTTCAATATACTGCTCAATCTTACCATATCAAAATGCTATGAGCATCAACACATCATCATTGCCATTCTGTCTTCGAACTTTTGGGTGGTCCATGTATAACCATCTTTAAATGATTTGCATGTACAGGAGGTCCCCGGGTTACGAATGGGTTACGTTCCTGAAGACGTTCGTAAGTCAGATTTGCACACAGCTCGTAGCACATGCTATATGCATACCGTACTTACAAAACAATGTTTAAAATCCCACTACAGTGGACCATCCATTAACGTGAGGTTTAATCTACGAGATTTCAGTTAATGAGTTACCTCCTGTAAGGACTTTCAGTTCTATTAACGACAGTCTTACGAGAAACACATTTTGGTGAGCGCATCAGCTGATCGACTTGTCCGCCAATAATTTGTTCTCTGTTTAGCTTTGTTTCCAGTGGAGTACTGTATATGGCGGCGTATAAGTCGACCTGGTGTTTGAGTCGCCATATACGGTAAACTTCGAGAAAGTTATGCTCTTGAATATTTGTGCATTTTTCCATTAAAATTATTGGTCATTCTCAAATTTGGTTAACATATTGATAATATACATTGTGCAGTGTTGATTTAGAAGAAAAAATCTGGAATTAGTTAAATAAACTGTTGTGAACTTAAATGTTATTGGTGAAATTATCAAGCAAGGGTCCGAAGAAATCTCGGAAGGTGATTTCAATTCAAGTGAAACAAGAATTTATTAAGAATCTGTCACTCCAAAGGTTTCTGACAATATTATGGAAGGTAGTTCGCCTTCCAAGAAGCATTAAAATGCTTCTCTTCTCCCTTCTCCTCCTCCTCCACCCCCACTTCCAATTCCCTTCATTGTCCTCCTCCTCCTCCTCCACCTTTCAATTCAACCAGCAACATTCTACATGCACACCTCAAAGAAAGTGTTAAAATATTTTATTGCTTTTTATTTATTATTGTACAGTATACTGTACAGTACTGTATTTTGTTTAGATTTAATGTTTTGTTAATTATATTACCGGTATACAGTACTTTGTATGTACTTTTTAATTAATTTAAAGGGAATTCTGTGACTTGGAACCAATTACCCAATATCCCATTGAAATAATAGATTCAGTTAACGAGTGGCTGTGGAACCAATTGTGCTCATTAATGGAGGGACCACTGTACAGTATATCATAACTTAAGTCCATATATACGGTACATCTAAAATCAATTAATTTTAAGAAAAATTAAGAAATATAATGACAAAATACAGGAAATGAAAGTAAAAAATAAGTCATATGGTAAATAAAATACAGTCTCTCCTTGACTTACGACCGGGTTCCGTCCCGACAACCAGGTCGTAAGTCGATTTGGTTGTAAGTCGAAAAGGCGAAAATAATCCACTGAAATTCTAAAATGAAATACAGTACAGTAAAAGTAATCAATAATGAAAAATGAATAAAGTGTTACTGTGCACTTACCTTTAATGTAGTCAGCTGAATGCACACGGGGCCTCAATAATTTTTTAATTAAGCATGGAGACTACATTAATTGGATGAAGCAGAAGAGGAGACAGGGCTGGGTGGGTCATCAAGTTTGCTTTCTTCAGAAACGCTAACATACTTGCTTGTTGAAGGTATTGGATCATCTTTAGGGAGTGAAGAGCCAGCAGTGGTGGGGCGTGAGGAGACAGCAGTGGGGGACTTCTTAAAAAATATGTCCAATTTAGACTGCACAGTTTGCCTTTTCTTTTCATTGTAAATCCCCCTGCAGCAAGCAAGTGCATCTTGGATCAGTCTGTCAACTTTTGCAAAACGCTCAACATTTTGATCCATTTCTTCAACCATTTGCATCCCCTTATTAATAGTAGCAAATGCCTCTGCCATTTGTTTCACTGAAAACTTTTTGGGGGGTGCAGGTTCTTCTTTTACATTTTGTCTCTCTTCTTCCTCTGCAAATTTCTGTGCCTCCAGTTCAATGAAATCCTCGTTACTTAGCTCTTCTGCTACACTTTCCACCAACATTATCAATTTCTAACTCCAGATGTTTACCCATCTGGACTATCTTGTTACTAATCTCAGAAATTGCTTCATCTTCATAAAATCCTTTGAAACTGTTCACATATCTTTTCAGGACTTTCTTCCATATTCCATTCATGCACTGACCTGTAACCTCATCCCATGCTGCAGCTATGTTCTTTGTACATTGCAAAATGTTGTAGTCCTTCCAAAACTCTCTGAGCGTTTTCTCACCTTCAGTAGCAGCAATAGCCTTAGCGAAGGTTGTACGTAAATAATACGCTTTAAAAGCAGCAATAGCACCTTGATCTATGGGTTGGATGACAGAGGTAGTGTTAGGTGGAAGGTAGACTACCTTAACATCAGGGTGCAGGTCGTCCAGGTGTGGTGGGTGTCCCGGAGCATTATCTAAAATTAATAAAATCTTGAAGGCAACTCCTTGTTGCAGACAATACTCCTTGGCTCGTGGAATGAAACAACTCAGGAACCAATCCTCAAACAGTGCTAGATTCATCCATGCTTTCTTATTTCTATGATAAAACAATGGCAGTGTGTGCTTGCTGACATTTTTAAAAGCCCTTGGGTTCTCTGAATGGTATATCATGAAGGGTTTTACCTTGAAATCAGCTACATTCCCCCCAACAGAAGTGTGATTTGGTCCTTGAATGCCTTGAATCCTGGCATGGTTTTCGCCTCTTTGTGGATGTATGTCCGTTCTGGCATGCGCTTCCAGAATAAGCCAGTTTCATCCACATTCAATATTTGCTCAGGCAAATATTTTCCCTCCACGATGAAACGATCTAGCTCCTCCTTAAGAGCTTCAGCAGCACCGACATCAGCACTTGCTGCCTCTCCACTCACCTTTACACTGTGCAAATTGTAACGTTTCTTAAACCTTTGGAACCACCCATGACTTGCTGTGAAGTTTTAGTCGCACTCATCACCTGCCTGCTCTTTCAGGCTTTCGAAAAGGCTTCTTGCCTTAGCCTGTATGGTTCGAAGGCTTAAGGGTACGCACCTTTGCAGCTGATCTTCCATCTACGTCACAAGTAATTTCTCCATCTCATGAAGAGGACCTAGTATTTTTTTCGTTATTTGTTCCCTTTATAGGTGCTGATCCTTTCACTACCTCACGAATTCGTTCCTTGTCCTTCAAAATTGTTGATATCGTCGAGTGAGAGAAGCCAAGGTCGCGTGAAATGGTTGCTACCGTTTTTCCATTTTCATATTGCATTATTATTTTAATTTTCATCTCCAAAGTAATTGATTGTTTCTTTTACTTCTCAGCACCACTAGAACTCTCACTTTTACGCTTGCCAGCCATTTTAAAGGGAATTACAAACGAAAATTTTGTCAGTACACAGCGGGATCACTAACAACAATGACGGCCAAACACCAACTGAGCGGGCTACGATGTGGATGCTGTACACCACGAGGCGGCCCAGCCCAAGCTATCGTAAGTCGAGGAGAGACTGTACTGTAAATTTCAAGTTTAACCCCATTCGTATAGGCAGGCGTTCGTAAGTCAGGGACCTCCTGTACAGTACTATAAAGTAATCCCTCCAAACACAAATGTATTACCTTCCCATAGTATGGATAGCCTTAGGTAGTTACAATATTCATCTACTGTCACTCCGTTTCTAGGACATAAAGGGGGTGTAGAGGGAGGATACAAACAATTTTTTGAAAAGGATTGGGTCAGTTAAGGTTAAACTAAGAATAATAATACAAGATGAAGTATGGTCTCATATCAGGAGTGGTGAATCTGGAATCAAGTACAGCAGTGTATCAAAAGCCTGGGTGAATGCTGCAATTCTATATCTGTAGATAAATGTAAAATTTCATGAGTCAAAGCAAAAATTATAAAGGGCTTATGGTGTTTCATCAAAGAATAGGAAGTATGATAAAATTAAGAGAATCATATAAGAAGTAAAAGAAGCAACTGAAAAAAATACAAAAAAGAGAATTTACAGAGATGTGAAACTTTATTGGTTGGACATTTCTATTTTGCCAATACAAACAAAGCGTAATAAACAAAAAAATTCATTTGTGCACACAGTTTTTAGATCTTTAATAAAAATATGAGGCAAAGTGGTCACCAACTCACCTGAAGTAGTAACATCCCCACTCTCTGCAAGATTAATATTTTCTTCGATCAATTCTGCTGGGATATTTATGAATTGGGGCTTCTGTTTTGGTAAGTAACGGCAACACAACTGCAAGCATTGGAGTAAACATTAAAACACATTGTATAATTTGCAAAAAAAAAAAAGACATCTTTAAAAAGAGACAACACACTATGTACAGTATAGTATTGCCAAGGCACATAAATAATACTTTTAAAGGAGACACATTAAGGCGTTGATAAAATAAACGAATAACAAAAGTAAATACCTGTACTAAATTTAATGCAGGTACAGTGTACTGTAGATCCAATGGGGTCAGTACAATACTGTACTTCCATACCTAATCTCATAATTGTTAAATAACCATGGCCATAAAAAAATTTACTCCAAAATCAGCTTTCAGTGAGTCATTCATTACATCATGACTCAAATATAATTGTCTGCTCTGTTTATAGAGGCTCTCAACATTGCAGGTTTAATTTCATATTATCAAATTTAAAAACAACGCAGATAGTATTAAAACTAAGTCAGACAGCAACTGGTCCTTCTGGTGAACTTACTTTCCAAAGCACTTGAATAAAGGCATGCTTATCTGGAGCACTGTTGGCTACCCACTTGTAAATGCGGTCAAATGTTAAGTCAAGGTCTGCCGTATCCTGAAAATAAGAGTTTAGGTTGACTTTACATGTAACTGATATATACTACTAGGTACTGAATATCATGTGGGATGTAATTTAATGTTTATCACTTTTTGTGATCTTTTATTGTAGAGCAGTATTTCTTTTTATTCTCAAGACTTTCACTTGGGAGTGTTTCAAGCACTGTTGAATTCTTTAGAAGATCTTATGCTTTTGAGAACAAAAGACCAGTTACTATTATTATTATTAATATAGACAGATGGAACAGTACCAAATAATTAGCTGAGTTCTACCTTGTTTTCATCCCTTCCATCCACCACTTGCAACTCTCGAAGTGGCCATGAGTTCTTCTTCTTGTAAACATCCTTGTCTGTTTTCTTCACCTGAATAAAATATAAGTGTTTAATTATATCATATACCCCTGTATAAACCACAAGATATTTGCATTATGTTAGAGGATATAACAGGAAGTGCAGCATGATGTCCAAGCCCCTAAAATTGAACAGCACATTAATAAATGTCACCTGGGCTTTTAGCTAGGAGGAGATTTGTTTGTTTAAATGTTACATAAGTTATACAAAATATGATGACTGATCATTTTAAAATTAAATGAATTCAATATCTTGTGACACTTCACCTACTTTAATTTTAATCTTTGTTCAGTGGTGTCCAGGTAAATTTATCTAGGAAAAAAATAGAAAGATCACACTGATACCTTAAGGAGTACCCGTAAATGGGCACTATCTAAAGGAATACAATAAACCTTTAATTATTTGAACTGTAAAAACTAGACTCACCAGCATTTTTCTGTAAGTGACAAATTTCAATACTGTACAGTATGAGTTCAATACAGTAGCCCTTCTCATTACATTACTTTTGCTTTACACATTTTTTGCTCATACATACATACAGTAGTTAACATATTACAACTGATTTTCATCATTATGTATTTTTATTTATTTTGTATTTATCAGTTTACTACTTATCAACTTACTAGCCATTCTGGTGTTTGGTCTGTCTAGTGTTAATACAGGAAGAAACCAGAGTGCTTGGAAGAAAACTGTGATGTTTGGTAGGGTCACACTGGATAAACACCCTTCTCACATGTACCCGGACAAAGTAGGTCTCAAATCCATGACATATTGGTGAGAGATAAGTGTGTTACCCACAATAACACTATGACTTGCCAAAACCCCTTGTGCATAGTAATGCTTTTTAGTGATTCATGAAGCTAACCAATGTTGCTCATGCACTATCATGACCCAATGTAAGCAAATGAGCAGGGTAGATAATGCTTCTCAGTGCTTTATTTATAAATTTCCATCTTGGATTATCTAGACTAAGCTTTATGTTTTTTTGAAAATCTGATCACTGAGCCAGGTTTTATTTTATTAACAATGTTTCATAAGTAAGATGCTAATCTTGCCTTTGAAACATTGTCATACGAAAGTGCAAAAACGGTCATAAAAGCTAGACTTTAGTTAATAAATGCGGCTGGTGTAGTTATTCCTCATCCTTAGACTTCCCCCATTCTCCTCTCCTTTTGTATACAGTAAAATAAAAACATTATATTGGTGTACAGATAAGTCATACAAGTTATATATAAGTTTAATTGTTTGGGTTACAGAAAAGAATTGATGGCTGTGTGTGAGGGAAGGATGGAGTTGTTCAAGAAGACAGTTCTATGCCCTTACTGTTAACAAATTGAATGTCTGATTAGGTGATGTTGCATATTATGTGAAATTTCCATTACAACAACAGTTTTAATACATGATTTATGCACTGGATAAGAAAAAGTTCATGGGCATCCAGACACCCATATGGATGGACAGACCTACATCATAGCACGTAAGGTTCTAAAGATGATCATAAAAATTGAATAAAATTTGTCTAACCAATTTAAAGTTATTGTACGAAAATGATACTGTACCATACTATGATTACAAATTTATGTGTATAGAAAGTAGGTACTGTATTGAAGATAACTGGTAAATTAGATACTGTACAAGTGTACAATATAATACCGATTTGACAATGAGGGTACTGTATGTACAGTACCCCAAAAAAGTATCGTTAACCATGGGGTCAACGTGATTTGAGGCTTTCCAAGCATGTTACTCAACCTGTTTCAGAATGGTTAGTATTTCTATGTCCGTGACCTTAGAGCATGAATGAGTATACTGTACAGTATATGTTTTTGAACAATACATACATCAATACAGTATAGCTTAATGGATATCTTGTTATACTGAAGTATCAAGTACAGTATGCCATACAAGGATGACTCCCTTCCCAATCCTACCACTTCCACATCTCTAACTGTTGCTAATATAAAAAGCAGGCATACCAACTTATGATGCACTGAAGTTATATCAAAGCATTTCGTCTCGCATTTAAAACTGTAACGAAATAAAATTATATTTTGGGGGGTCTGTACATCATAAGCATGTGTTGTGAAGTGCATGTAAATGTAGTGGGTTAAGGACATTCTATAATGGTCACACACCTGATGAACTGTGGCATACACAGGCTTTTCTTTGTTTATAGTAGCACATAAAAAGCTTGTCTTTTTCTTTTTGCCAGGCTTTGTCACATACAACACACCGATAAGACGCTCCTCAGTCGGCTCAAATACATCTCGCTGAAGACTGTGGCGAATGGTTGCCATAGTCTAGGGATTCTTATAACTTCTGCAATAACAAATAAGCATCATTAATTATCTAAAACTGCAGTACATCAACTAAAATCTAATATCTTAAATTCTTGCAGCCACCCCAGTGATATCCAACACATGAGATGCGTCAAGATTAGGTTTGGCTACTGCAGTATTTGAATAAGTGACTACAGTACTTGAACTAGAGAGAGCTTTCCTGGTAAAAAAATAAAAAATAAATATTTTTTTAGCATCATTCAAATACTGCAGTATCTCCACAAATTTTGGTTCAATTCCGTAAGTTATTTTTTCTGCTAACAGTGTTCTCCACCTTTACCAAATAAAAAGTTCTATCAATTTTATTAGTTAATATCATCCAAAGAACACCTGTGGAAAATATGAACAGAGTACGTATATAAATGCATTCACGTGCTAACTGTCTGCTCCACCTTTACTGATAACTGATTAACTTGTCCTTAACCATTACCAATATATTACTTTTCTTAAGATTGATAAACGCTTGGAACTGTCTACCTGCTGTTCCTGGGAGAGAGCAACGCAGTGGCTATTCTTATGCCAGCTGTAAGGAAAATAACAGGCTATTTTTACACCAGCCTTCTTGCACATGTTCAGGATGTAAATGACCAACCCAATGTTATTATAGTTATGATCTTCCATGGGTGTAAAGGGAACTACATCCCTTGTTTATGCCAGTAAGGTCAGGTTAGGTTAACTTTGGTTTTTTACTCGGTACTCATACACGCATAATTGGACCGGCATAAAAATAGTCCCTGGTGTTTTCCTTAATGCTGGTGTAAGAAATAATAAATTTGGGGGGCTTTAAAATGGCGCTTAACTATATAATAAGTAACAATGGAAATACCGAATAAACCAATTTCCTTTCTTCACAACTCTGCAAAATTAAAAGGTTGGCAAGGAGTCAAAGCTCCATAACAACAACATAGTGTAATTGTAGAGTATTTATAGACTTGAATGTGTTTCTGTCTAAGCTCGCCTGAAGATCAAATACTGTACAGGTATTTATAAAATTACCGTGCACAGAAGGCAGTGGATATTTTGCCGTGACCAGCTAAGCTCCCACGAACACTATTTAAACGTGAGTGCGCTCCGTTTAGCTAATCGTCCATTACCGGCGAACAATTTAAGAATTATATATAACTGTGAGTCTGGCGGCATTTGTCATTCATTTCATATTTCTGTTGTACATGGAAACTTATTCTAAGTGGTGACATTTAATAGAACCTAACAGAACCTGGCATAACCAACCAAAGAAATCTACCTTACCTAACCTAACCTAACAGAACCTAGCATAACCAACCAAAGAAATCTACCTAACCTTACCTTACCTTACCTTACCTAACCTAACCTAACAGAACCTGGCATAACCAACCAAAGAAATCTACCTAACCTTACCTAACTTCCTAACAGAGGGGCGGACCTCACCCCCTCCAACATAATAAAAACTCACGGTAAAATAGCGTTAGTAGGACCTCAGTCAGTCACGGCAAAAATTAAATATACTTACAGAATATCAAATTATATACTTTGCGGAATTTCAAACCTGTACTCAATCTCAAAACGCCAAACTGGCTGTTCCTCCTTTTTTCTTTTATAGTTGTACACTCTCCATGTTCTCCTCCCCCTTTGTTGACACTTGACAGACAACACTACACTAGTTCCTCTTCAGGCAAAGTTCGATACTCCTTCATCTCACATCGGACTCCGATTTTTTTACCTTTATCAATCATCTTCACACAAAATGCTGTGATATAGATAAAAATTTATACACGTTCACATTTTCTCATTATTTACATGTAGGCAGTGCAGATATAATATGAACATAGACATTGTGTGCAAACTTTTCAGAGATCGTTTTATCACAGGAAGGACCGAATCGTCAGGCTCGTTAGCCGATTTGACGGTCGATTCATTACGTCTCCGTTACGCACTGTTGGTTTTCTTCCGAAAAGTCCACGGGTTTTTGGTTACACCCACGATCCAAATATTGGCATCTCATTATCTACATCATTGTCAGAGAAAGAGATCTCCGATATGTTCTCATCACCCGAGCCATGCATGGCTTTTTACTTACTTTTATCCTCTTCACCATTCATCGGCTCGTGCATAGGGCTGCAGTCCCCCCAGACACTCACTGCCAGGCGTATGATTCCTTTAGAGAGACAGCTGAATAATACACTACCAACAAATATATCATTTTATATGTTATTTAATTATTTTCAATACGTTGCTAAGTGAATTTTCATTAAAATCAGACCAAAATTTAAGTTACTTTCATAGTTGCTGTCAATGCTGTACGATTCATGTTTGTTATTAATTGGCGCCGCCGCCGCCTCACTTGAAGCAGCTCAGTCTCGTACAACGTGTGGACGGTGTGGTTAAATCGTGCTTTCTTTTATTACCCTCTGACGATGGAAAATCGAGTGAAGTATTTGCAAAACATCAACTTTTCCCAGCTGACATTAAATGAAAAGACTGAAATCAAAGCAAGAGGAAGACCTACACCAGTTTTATCCATTCAACAGAACAGTACAAGCAGGAACAAAGAATATACACGCCAGTTTAACATCAGTGTTTATCAGAAATGTGAATGACAGACTGTCTGCTTTAGCAGTGATATCCATTGAAAATAAAATGATAACAGAAATAAAGGATTTTAATGAAATAGTAATAAACAATTTTGCTACATCGAAGAGCAGACACGCCGACTTTATTTTCAATTAATACTGGTCCATCACCACCTTCTACCACCAACACTACTACCATGCCCTGGGAATTCGTGGACATCAACTACAACTCATACCTGAGGTAGGTCAAATTTGTGTATCCTACTGTTGTGTGAGGCTTGCAGTCCCTCCATTTTATTTTTCACGAGCCGCCACTGTGCCTAAACAGCTACTTTAAAGTCACCTAATCGAATGGTAAACGTAACGCTGGCGGGCAACGGAAAGGGTATAAGGATAGTCTTATGACAAACCTGAAAAGTTCCAAATCGACCCCTTCACCTGGGAGATGATCACTCCACACCGTAGCGCTTGGAGGACCACCACTCGCATACTGAGGCAGGCAAACAAACGCAACGCCGGAAAGACGCTGCCGCCGCCCCTATCGCACTATATGCATCATCTTTAACTATGAATTAATAAGTAATAACGTATATTATTGTATCATAGCTGGATGATCGTCATACTCAATTCTAGTGACATCAAAGTAATAAATATCCCACAACATGGAAATTATGCTCGATGTCTCGCACACGACACATACTTTTTGTGATTATGTTGTGGGGTTGTGAAATATTTGGTTCACACTCAGGATGGGATGGAGAAAGGAAACTCACAATGTGCTCTCTGTATACATATTGTATTGGTTGTACAGTGCAGCTTGGTGCTGGGAAGGCAGCATGGTTACAAGCGTTGAGTAGAGAGAGCTGGTTGGTGAGGGTGCTCAGAGGAGGACCAGCTTGTGGGTCGCCATGCTCGCCGGCGGGAGCGAGGGCCGCCAGGCAGGAGGAGGAGGTGTTGCTTGCTGGTTGGTGGAGGTAGAAAGAGATATTCGGTCGGTCGGTGATACGGAGAGAAGAGAGCATTTGCTCTGAGGGTGCAAGAAGGGTACAGTACAAGGTAAAGTTCAGAAGTGGGAAATAGAGGAGGAGGTTAACAGCAGGTGGGCTATCCACCTTGCAGAGACGGGGTTTTTTGTCTTCCGTCAACAGTGCTGCATTAGAGGACTCATGCGGTTAGGGAAGGCCGGTCTCAGCCAAGCTAAGCTAAGTTGTTCTATTTGATGTTTCCTTGGACCACGAGGTCAGGTCTTATATAGCGGAGGTATGCGTGGCTTAATAGTTGACCTCCGTCATGTAAGGCGGCGCTGGTTGACCGAGACCACGAGGCATACACTGGGGAATTCGCGGGGTCGGCTACTCAGCGACAAACAGCGTTTGTAGGGGAGGAATCCACTACAATGCTTTGCATATGAATTAAGCTATAGCAGGTGCTACTATAGCCTGCTGTCTACAAGATATTTTAGGTTACATTAGTTTAGGTTAGATTACGTTAGGTTATATTTGGTCAGGTCACGCTAGGTTAGGCCAGGATAGATTGGGTCAGGTTAGGTAAGCTTAGGTTAGGTTAGGATAGGTCAGGTTAGGTTAGGATAGGTTAGGTTATGCCAGTTCAGGTTCTGTTAGGATAGGTCAGGTTAGGTTAGACTAAAGATATCTTTGTAGACGGCACGCTATAGCAGCACCTTATAGAAAAGCTGTTTAGTAACATTATCTGACTATAACTTCAGCAGAAAGGATAGTTTGAGTGACCCTGCCAAATAACATCGCATATTAAATCCTCCAGGTACTCCAATGTTGCCCTAAAAGTGTGCCTTACCCAACGAGGAAGTAATTATGTTTGGGCGCAGACACACCTGTAGGGGAGACGTCCACTACACACCTCCACGATATTTAGATGTCTGAAAATTTATCAACAAATTATATTTTTGTATTTGTCAAAAGAGTTATTCATATACACATTATGTATAATTTAGCATATCTACCGAATTTAAATTTATAAAATGAATAAAACAGGAGTTTAATCCAAGATATCTTTCTTATCTAACCTAAGATAGCTGATATGAAAGCATTTCAGTATATATTAATAATTTCAGCTCAAACAAACCGAACACCAATTTCAATAGGTCTTTTGAGCATCAATTTGTCTCAGCTTAAAGTACAGGAGGTAGGGAAGGCTAAATATTGCATCACGGTTGAAACTTTGATGTGTTCGGACGCCTGGCGGTCAGTGGGCGGACAACACACGGACCGTAAGGCTGACGGTAAATTGTCTCTGCGGTTATTGTTCTTCATGTGAGTATCAATGATTTTTTTTGATGTTAAGGTCTTGTAAATACTACTTATGATCTTGCACAGACATTCGGTACGTAGTATTTGTTCATTGGGCATCTTACGAAACTCTAATTTTCCTTGTAGTCTCAAGGTTGAGGTCCTCAGTTCATACTTTGTAAGTTATCGTTAGTACTGACGTCATATATCATTCAGTCAGCGTCACGGGGAATGGAAAGTTGGAAACACACTGTTGAGTCATTCTACAGTAAGAGCTCACACTGTTGAGTCATTCTACAGGTGAGTGGGAGCATCAGTTTGTTGGGAAGTGATTTACATTGCATTAGATAGGTGGGTGTAACTTAAGTTCTAAAACTTTCTGTGCAAAATTAGTTCTCAATAGATTTTTCAATTTGATGTGGAAAATCTTTATTAATTTATAAAGTGTCTTTTTTGTTTACATTATCACGGGAACCATTAGGAATCATGGTAAATTTTTCTTGTAGCTCCGTTCACTTGTAGCAAGTTAAAAATATATTTTTCTAGTGTATTTGTGTGTGCTGAGACCGAATATGACCTTCCTTTTGGGCGGAAATTGGCCTGTTTTTTTGCGATTTTTTTCGTTTGACGTTTTCCGAGAAAAAAAGTGCCTAAGCGACTAACAAATACACAATAAAACACGAGAAAAACAATAAACAAACCTAACCTAACCTGACCTAACTTAACTGACTCACCATATGATGGAATCGCCTATTTCTTACCTTATTGTCCTGGTTCTTGTTCGTCGTTGCATTCTGGGATTCTTACCCAACGCCACATATGTTGGTCTTTGCGATATTTACATTCCGTCTTGCTCTTAGTACACTTTACTGAGGTCGGAAGAACACCATGCGATCGAAAAAATGCTATAGTTTCTACGTTTTTTTTTCCAAAAACTCGCAATCAGCTCCATATACTTTAAGTGACACCCATCGCAGACTTCCATGGTCGGAACTGAACTTGAATTTCAAAATATGAGACCCAAAATAAATATCGATTTTGATTGGGCCAAATATACTCTGAATTAGCAAAAACGCTTTTGATTGGCCGCGTGACGTGTACGGGTATGCATGCGCGTCATGATTAATGAAGGAGACGCGAGAGACATGCAGTGTTAGGTGAGAGGCAGACGATAATGGCGGGAAATAATGGAAGAAAATAGAAATTTATTTGGAAAAGCTATCTCCGTTATTATACATTTCCGCCGGTAATGCAATAGATGAAAATTATCTTATAATTAGACGTCTTATTCGAATATGATAATAGATTAGTGGTAGGAATGAACGGAACTACAAGAAAATAATACCGGAATCATTCTTATGAGTCCACTGAAATATTACTGTAAAACATATATTTTTATTATTTTTATTTATTATCGTTTCGGTCATCCAGAGGAATTTTAGGATTTTAAGTTACCACTTCAGAGAGCCTAAGTTAGGTTAGGTTGAAATAATGTTTTTCTGGTGGTTTTTATGTGTTTTGAGCAATTCGGAAAAACGAAACAATGATTGTATTATTTTTTTTTAATTTCTGTCTTAAGGATTTACAATATACAGTAAAGTGTTTTGGGTAATTATTTACGACTTCACAGCTGCTGATTTTTCATAGAAAACCTATTTAAAAATGCTGCAATTTCACTGTCCTTTATAGTGAGTGGACACTGAAATAGTTATGGCAAATGTGTTAAAAGTGTATATTTAAAAGTTAAGTTTACCTAACCTACCCAAACCTAATTTCACCTAACCTAACCTTAACCTAGCATAATTTAACACCTGCCGTGGGCTAACTTACTGTTACTAAGACGGGTTAGTGGCAATGAAGTCCGCCATACTAGCTGAATTTTGTAATAGTCTAAATGGTAATAGTGGGGTAAATAGTTCTTGAAGGTCCATAATTGCTTTGATAATTAAAAACATGATTTTTCTGTAGCTTAGTTAGACAATTCTAAGACTTTCTTCAATGACGTTTCCCTCGCAAATGACCTAAAATTACCTAACGAAACCTCCTAACTGAGTTGCTCTGCTCCCTGGAGCCTCGGCATATATAAGTCGTTTGTGAGGAAAACATCATGGAAGAAGTGTCTTAGAATTGTCTAACTAAACTGCTGGAAAATCATGTTTTTAATTATAAGAGCAATTATAGACCTTAAGGAAAATAAGATCAATTTGTAGTTTCGAACAACGGCTCTTGAGTTGAGCAATGTGTTTTTTCTGATGGTTTAAAACTTTTTTAGACATTCTTCTTCTATGACATTTCCCTCGCATATGACCTAAAATTACCAAACCTTACTTCCTAACTGGGGGACGCTGCCCCATTAGATCCCCTGGTATATTTAAATAATTTGCGAGGGAAATGCCATAGAAGAAAGGTGTCTTTGAAATTGTTTAAACCATCAGAAAAAATATATTGCTCAACTCGAGAGCCGTTTTTGGGCAAATTACAAACTGACGAAAATAATAGCGATAGTGGATCCCAAACTTTTCAACTTCACAGACCAGCAGAGAGGGAAAAAAAATTGCAGACTGGTTATTGTAAATATTTTATACTGTATTTAAAGTTTACATACTGTATACTTTTTTACCTTTATGATCTTTGCCACTGATCGGCTCGTTAGCTACTTGGGCAGTTGGTCATGTCTGTTATGCACTGTTGGCAAGTACTGGGTATGCACCGGCTCCTGAATGTATCTGAACCTGCTCCAGTGTTGGTCAAGTCTGGTCTTGTACAAGTTCATAATCAGTGCCTTTACAATACTCTGGCAGATTGTTCCAAGAGTTCACAATTCTCACTCGGAAAACATTTGCCCTCACAAATGTGACCCCTTGTAGAGCAGGTGTCCGCCAGCTCTAGGTATGGACACTTGACTGAGTAGTGCCCTCTGAGATGTTTATAAACTTCAATTAGATCACCCCTTGCCCATCTGTAGATTAAGCTAGGCAGTTGCAGGCATTCTAATCTCTGGATAACTGAGGTGCCATAGTGCAGGCACCAATCTGGTGGCCCTCCTTTGGACATTTTCAGTCAACTGACAGTCTAGCATATCTCGGGGACCAGACAGGGAGCACCTCTCTTGACGATCGTTATGAGGGACCGACCGTCTAGATATCTGAACGGCCGTCTTATATGATCTAGTTTATTTGCTTGATTCACCTTCTCCTCACAATGGCCCGAGAACTACAGTTCATTGTTAACATCACGCCCGGGTCCTTTTCACATTTGGTGTCTATTAATGCAGTTTCTTCGTCCCTCTGGGACATGTGATACACCTCCTTACTATTGGTATGTTCTAGGTGGACCCTTTAACACTTCATGACATTGAATCTGAGTAGCCATTTCTTCGACCACTCTTGAAGCTGGCAGAGATCTTTCATTAGCTCTTCACAGTTTGTTTGGTTCTTAATATCCCTGAAAAACTTGGCATCATCTGCGAACATTTGTATGGAGGAGTGTATAGCTTCTGGCATGTCATTTTTTAAACAAACAAACAAACAAACAATGGGTTCAGTACACTGCCCTGTGGTATCCCACTTGTCATGGGTACACAAGACTATTTCGTGCCATTAAACACCACACACTGCTTGCGGTCATGAAGAAAAGTCTTCGACACACGCTAGGTCACTTCCCGGAAACCCGTACCCTTCCAGTTTAATTCTCAGCCTTTCATGGGGTACGCTGTCATACAGTATATACAGTAATCCCTTGGTATTTTGTGAAATTGGGACTGATAATTACAATGAAATATCTTTTTCACAATATACTTTTTTCTTAAATTACTATATGGGAAAATGTACCCTAGGGTCGAAGACAAAATAATACAAGAAAAATCCATTTAAGACATCCATTTCATTAAATATTGGTAGCAACTCGGCATTGAGGCTCCACTGTTATATGTACAGGTGCATTGAATACAGTACAGTATACAGGGGGTCCCTGGGTTACGAACGAGTTCTGTTCCTGAGGACGTTCTTAAGTCTGAATACAAACCGTATGTGCACTATATCAGCGTAAGTCTTTTTATACATCTCGAATCACTTAATTTAAGAGAAAAAAAGAATGACTAAATACAGATAAGGAAAGTAAAAATTAAAGTTAAGCACTTACATTGAAACCTTAGGCTAGTTGATCTTCTACCCATATCTCTAACAATGTTTCCATTTCGATTAATAATCCACTAATTTGTTTTATTATCACAGTTGAGTGCATTAGTGTAGCCCCTTTTACATTTTCAAGAATTTTGTGTTTGTCTTTCAAAATTGTTCCGACCATTGACCGACTGAAACCCAACCCTTTACCAATGACCGATATGTTTCGCCTTTTTCAGAACGTTTAATTACGTCAACTTTCACTTTCATTGTAATTGTTTCCCTATTCTTGGATGCACTACTATCACTTGCATCAAGTTTTGTGTTTGGGAGCCATGATGAGGGCAGAAAAAGATAGATAATAAGCAAAAAACAACAATTTTCACTTGATCACACACGTTACTGTGGTGAGGGTAAAGCTTACTGATGCCCCCTCGAGGTGCGTGGCTGGGTGACGCATTACTCACCACTATGCCATGCAAACTAGTTCTCGTACGTTAATACTGCGAACCAGTTGTACTTATGTCGGATTCTTAAAATAATTGACCTTATGGGACCTCGTTCGTATCGGCAGGTGTTCGTAAGTCGGCAACCCCTCTGTACTGTAATTTGACTTACTCACATACAGTACAGTACTGTAATTTGACTTACTCACATACAGTACAGTATAAGAGGAAGGATACAGAAAGTCATCCCAAATTGGGATCTTGGAATACGTATTAAGATTAGGACTGACCCGACAACAAACGTAGAATTAGTAAAAGACTGAGGAAGATGGAAGTTTAATTATGTTATGATTTTATTTTCACATCTTCATCTTTGATTGGTTTCCTCTTCTGCAGGTTGAGACATTTTATTCCAAGCACTTCAGAAAGTTGGAAAATGGTGATGATGGTGTGTTACAGTCATCTTTTTCTGCCCTTTATCTTAATTTGTAAGGATATACTGTAGTCTTCACGACCATGACAAAAGAATTGCAAACATTAAAAATTGGAGATATGAAACAGTTGATGTAGAATAGATAATAGTACATTTATAAGCAAAACTGGTTGAGTATTTTATTGCAATTTCCAATAGGGGAAATATCTACTAAATTTGTCATTTTTATTTAATGCAGTACATTATTCAGGTACAGTACAGATTATGGATAAAGTTTATATTTTATCACATACATTGACCCCAGACCATTCAGTATAATCAGCATCTTGAAAACTGGCACCACACCAGAGTACATTAATTTGAACAAGGTATGTCTGCTACATGTAGGAAGCATCTGGCAACAGTGTTCCCAGAATAAGGTTGAAGGTGATGTGGGGAGAGCTAACCACTGAGTGACCTCCAGCTGAAGGGGCAGAGATTTACTGTAACACACAAACTGGAGAGATGGCAATCACTTATATCCTGCCAAATTTTCTCAGATTTAGGTGTTGATAACTGTTGTGAAAGATGGCTTTGGACTTTGCATCCTCCTTGACACTTTTCTTTGTGAGATTTTTATTTTATTTTTTTTTTGCATTGTACAGTTATTAGTGACACTCACTGATAATAAAAATATTGTTTATTTCAGATAAGTGGCATACACACTATACAACAAAAATGGCTGGTTCAGCACAAGATAGGAATTTCCTCGTAACTGTTTTCCAGCAGTAAGTTTGAAAAATATTGTAATGTACAGTATTTGTAATTTCTAACTCTGAATTTCCATCTTGTGTTCCCTCCTATATATATATATATATATATATATATATATATATATATATATATATATATATATATATATATATATATATATATATATATATATATATATATATATATATATATATATATATATATATACATATATATATATATATATATACATATATATATATACATACATACATACATATACACACAGTGGTCCCTCGGTTAACGAGCACAATTCATTCTAGAAGGTTGCTCGTTAACTGAAAAACTCGGTAACCGAAACCATTGTTTCAGTGGGTTTTGGGGTAATTGGTTCCAGCTCACCGAAAATTGCCTAGAATAAACAAAAAAGGTAGTAAAGTACACTTACTCTGAGGTGTGTATGTAGAAGGCTCCTGGATGATGATGATGGGAATTAGAATGGGGGTGGAGGAGAAGGGAGAAGAGAAGGCATTGGGGTGGAAGAGAAGTCACCCCATGGTGCCATTTCACCCATAAAATTTTAGTTCTCTTGGTGTAATTCAAGATTATATTCTTAAAATCAACACTGCACTGCATTATATAGCATTTAGTTGAAGCGAGTCTGAAGCAAGATGTTACCTCCACTGAAAAGACACAGAGACTGATGCCTGTACGGTGTGTTGACAAGCTGTATGGCGCGCAAAAACTAGCTTCCTATACTTCAATTATGTTCAATAATTGTTAAAATGACTAAAAAATTAATATAAAACTTTTAAAATTATTGAATAGTATAAACTTCTTGATATTTACTAAAATAGTAAGGAATTTAAGCCCTAGAACTGATTACTGTATTGGCGGACTAATACTACAGCTGGTGGACTGCCAAATGCAAGCGAAAACTTGTTGAGGTCAGCTCGTAAAAAACTCGTTAATCGAGGGATTGCTCGTTAACCGAGGGATCACCGTATATATATATATATATATATATGGGGATTAGTGGATGACATCATTATGACCTGACCTCATGTTTTATAAGGTCACCCTGTATATTTAAGCCTCTCTCTGTCCATGTAATTCAGTTGCCTCTGAAGATGTCTTGAATAAAGACGAAAGCTAAGGTGCTAAGGTGCTCCGTTGTTTCCCTTTTCCCGTGTGATTTTATCAAGATTTATCTTATCCACGTTTTCATTGTGGATCTACATGAGATATTATATATTATATATATTATATATTATATATTATATATATGCATTTTGATCAATGCATCACAACGGTTGAGCTATTCGACACACAGGAGTGTGGAGCTCATAAACAGTTGGCAGGCATGTGGAACCTCTGAAAAAAGAGTGCCACTGACACCATTCACTGTGTTGGATAGTCTGGTTTCTGCCAAAGCTGGAAAGATGTAATTCTCTCACTGTGCACTACAATATGTACAGTATATCCACTTTGTAAACATGGATCCTTGTACAATACAGTAATCTATGACTATTTCAAGGAATATAAGTATATATACCAGTAAATTTTTAAGACAGATTTTCACTCCATTAAACCATGTTTTGGTGCATTGATGAGACTGTGCTCTGGCAGGTGTTGGATGATGGCATTCTAAATTTTCTCAAGGGGTTTGCAAATATGTGATGTTTAGTTGATTAACCTATAGTTTTCTGCTGCACTCTTTCACCAGTATTGAATATAAGTCTGACAGTAGTTCATTTCAGTCCCAAGGCACTTTTCTTTGATCCATGTATTTTCTGAATACACTACATGTAGTTGTGTTAGTGGATTCCATAACTCATTTGCTAATTCTTTTATTACATTAGTCTGTGGTCTGTCCATTCCTGGCTGTTTATCTATTTCTTAATTACAGTTCTGTATTTTTTTGCTGCTCTCCTCTCGAAACATTTTCAAGCCCTGAAGTATGCACCTTCCTAGGTACTGTACTGATGTGTTATCCCATGTTCCTTGGGTGAATACAGGGGGTGGGGGTACTGATACAATATATTCATATAAGGTACAGCATCTGCTCTTAGCTTAGACCTGTCACCCTTCAAAGCTAGGCTGTATTCATCTTTTAGCGGGCCAATAGTATCTTTCATCTTCATTTTTTCTTCTGGTATGTGCATAATAGGACTTGGATCTTTTTTTAATATTTTGGGAGAGCATTTTCTTGAATTGTGTTTTTGCTGATCTAAATGATTATAATTGGGTCTCTCTTCTACTTTACATGCTCCACATACATAATCTTTTGTGCTTTGTTTACACAATTGGTAGTTGGTATTTTCTTTTGATGACTTGTGGGTTTCTGCTTCATCCATCTGGACTTGCTTCCTCTTTTCTTTGACTTTTGGAGTACACATTCTTCTGCCACTGCCTCAAGGGTTTCTTTAAATCTATGCCTTTACTCTTTTGTATAGGAATCTTCCCTAGTTTATTCTGTGTAGTTTTTGCATTGCACTGGTAATCAGTAGTCACCATGGTTGAAACATAATACTTTTCCTCTAATACTTTCAAAGGCTGTGTTCCATCTTAGTAAGTACAGTAGTGGTAACGGTCAACAGTGAATTTTTCCTCAATGTAGTCCTAGTCCACCATTGTCTCTTCACCTAAGACCAAACCCAGAATATTCTCTCCCCTTGTGTGTTTTCAGAAATACAAGTAACTTAACTTTTGTATCTCATGTTTCATCTTGTACAGTACCGTTTTTTTTTAATGAATCATGTTTATCACCAACAGAGTCGACAAAGATCGAAGTGGTGCCATTGATGCAAGAGAGCTGCAGTCTGCACTCTCTAATGGAAATTGGACACCATTCAACCCTGACACTGTTCGACTGATGATTGGTAAGCACTTTTTGCATGCAACCCCTTCACAATGGGGACACCAATTTTAATTTTTATTTGGATAAAGCTAGACAATTTTATTTGGCACACAGACCCACTAACCTCTTCACTATGGGGATGCCACTTTTAATATTTTATTTTGAAAAAGCCAGACATTTTTATTCAGCATAGACAGACCCTTGTACACAAGGAGTTATATAATGATATTTCTTCTTATATAGGAGACCCTCAAGTTCATTGTACTGTAAGTAATATTGAACCATTGTACAACTACAAGGTATTATTTTGGTGGGGTTGAGGAGGCAGCCACTCAGATATTGAGTGTGAGTTTATATCTGGTTTTCCATTTGGTTATGTACCTGGACAAATAGCTACATGAAGTCTGTTTGCAAATAATAATTTTCCTTTGCTTTCAACGTGAGTATCATGCCTTGACACTTGATATTAATACTGTAGTAATTATTGATTAGGCTGTTTCATTAGTGACTGCTTTTAGATTTTTGTCATTTTGGTTCCAGTCTTATGACACACATGGAACACTAATAGCCAGATTAGTCTTATGACTCACGTTGAACAAGAATATTCAGATTAGTTTTATGATGTTCATGGAACAATAATAGTCAGATTGGTTTTATGGCTCACATGGAACAATAATAGCCAGATTAATAAATGAACCCCTGAAGCACCCCCAAGGTTTCTTTTCTTGTGGTATTGCCTTGATTATGTACTGGATCAGTGCCCTTAACAGTTGCAGGAATAGTCAGTAAAACAAAGAAGGAAATTTTGAGATTGATTGAGCTTTTAAGGACAAATGTTTGTGAAAATGAGTATGAATATTTGTGTTAGGGAGGTACATTGAGGAAGGCCAAATGGGAAGTTGATGGTCAAAGTAAGAGAGGGAAGTCAAGAAATGATGAATTAGCTTTAGAGATCTATGGTATACTTATGTTTGGTGGGAAACAGTTTATTTTGTAGCTATGGAACATATTTTTTACATATATAAACCAGGTGAAATAATGGAAGTAACTTGTTATATTACAGGTATGTTTGATAAGAAAGGGTCTGGCACCATCACATTTGAAGAGTTTGGGTCATTATGGAAGTATGTGACAGACTGGCAGCAATGTTTCCGCTCTTTTGATCGAGATAGCTCTGGCAACATTAGTAAAGAAGAGCTTAGGACAGCTATTACTACATTTGGATACAGGTATGACCATGGGTTTTTTTTCTTAAAATAAATTAGTCTTTGTTTTTAGAAATTACACTGTCACTTGTCAAACAGCCAGTCACAGTGCACTTAGTTTTGTGCAACTAATGAACAGCATCTCTTAAGTTTCTTGCCAAGTGCTACCAAGCAAAGGTCCCTCCACAGTTGTATGCTTGTGTGGCCATGCAACAGTCATCAAGTGTCGTGCACTTACTTTTCCCAGCCACACACTTCATCAGTGATGACATCTCTTTTTCATATTACAGTGAACCCTCACTTTACACGGTCAATTGAACCCACTGAGGCCCGCTTAAAGTGAGAAATGCGTAAAGTGAACAACATAACATATGGGATTGATTGAAAAAGAGACAGGCCGACCCCCAAACTCCACTTTTTCCGACACAATACCTATGTGCTAGTAAAAATAACATCTTAATTTTATGATGGTACAATCACACAATTAATATTTAAGAGAAATAGAGAAATACAGTTGCCAAGTTAATGTCCATTCAAATAATGGACTCGACTCCCTCCCCCTCTTCTCACACTCGCTGGCTCTTCCCTCTCTGAGAAATGTTTGGGGGAAAACCACTAGATTTTAAGGTATAGTAATAAATAATACCTCAAACTAAAGTTAGGATAATATAATTGACATTGCTGGATTCCTTGTAAGACCAGGAATATTTTGAATATAAATGTCATATATTTTGCACAAAAGATAACATATTTACTCAGAGTAAACAAAATACTTACATAAGAAATAGATAAAATACTCTAGTTACGTTCCCCAGCCTCCCTTTGTCCCATAAAATACATTACACATACATAAATTCAATGGAATTTTTATAGAAAATATATTTACATCAAAAAAGATAAATAAACTAAATATTTTGTATTGTACTCACTGATGGGCAGAGGTGGAGCGAGTGTGTCGTGGGTAGTGGAGAGGAGGAGGGTGGTGAGTCACTGAGACCCGGAGGGGGGCTACCCTTCCTGCTTTGACTGGGGTTCCCCCTCCATTTTTGTAGCAAGGCCAATGGTCTTGCATTGCTTCTTCTTAACACGAGCATCACTAACACTTGATAGGCACTTGGAAGCCATTTTGAATGGTTACAGTATAGTATTTATAGCAAAAACACTTAAGCACGCACATACTCTGTGGAAGCCTAACAAAGACTGGGGACGCTGTGACGCTCCGCGAGAGAGCTTAGCCCGCCAAGATGAGAGAGGGTGATGCGCCATACATAGTAGTCCGTGACAACTTTATAACGAATCGGTCGGGACGTTGTTAGAATCATGGGTATCTCAAGAGTAGCGACGTTATAGCGAAACAACGTTGTCTGGGACAATGTTAAACGAGGACTTGCTGTACTAATTAATATTTTTAATAATTTCTGAATACTAATACAATGTGTTTTCTGTAGGATGTTGTTTTCATCCTTGCTCCTCTGTGGACAGGCTGGTGTGTTTGCAACAGTTTTTAACCTTGTAATTGCAATAACTTTTATGTAGAGATATAGATGAATTATGACCCTCTTTATTTATGACTCTACCAAAGCAGAAGACTTAACCACTTTTTTGAGTGAACCTTTGTTTGTGTACTGGTGGATTTCAGTAATATTAAAAGAAACAAATCAAAATAGTTGTTCACATTTTGTCATATGCCGATTTTAACTAAAATTTTATTGATAAGGTATTTCCTGCTCATGTAGAATAACATACATATACTGTTTGAAAAACTATAAGAAATAACGAGACTATTTATTTGATTTACCTTGAAATTTTGAGATAGACCAAAGATTTTAATGCACACTGGACTATATGTGGTTAAAAAGGGTAAATTATTAAATGGTAAAAAATAAGAATGCTACTAATCTCTCATATTTTTATTGCAGGTTTTCTGAGCCATTTTATGACGTGTTGATGAAGCGTTTTGATAGATCTGGAAAGGGCGTAGTTCATTTTGATGACTTCATTCAGTGCTGTATAGTGCTTCATGTAAGTATAAACTTACCATATTTTTAAGTCACTGTTTTGTACTGTACTGTAGTTGAAATGTGGTGTTATAGGTGAATGCTAAGAATAAGCTACACTGACAGGAAAACAAATGAAGAAGTACTAAGATTTGCAAAAACTTGAAATGTACAGAAAAAAATAATGAGATACTTTGGCCACATAATTAGGGATGAGGGGATAATAGCAGAAATATTAATATGCAAAGTTGAGGGAAGGAGGCCCAGGGGAAGGGAGAGACTGAGATGGATGAATTAAATTAAAAATTGGGTTTCCAGAGAGATACAAAAGATACAAAACCTTAGAGGCTACTCTGATTGATTGACTGTAGTTGGTTGACAGGATATTTTTTTCTGTATCAAAATGGCTATGAATTACAGTGTTTATATGACAAAAGGATAATTTAAATGTGTTATATTTTGGAGAGGTGCAGTGGCAGATCATATATAGTGCTCATCATCATTCTATAGGAATGGCTAGTTAATGCCCAGGGCTTCTCCAATCCACTCGGCTGTGAAATGCACATGACTACAGTTTGGGAAGTGAAAGAGGTTGAGTGTAGTACTGGCCACACTGGCTCCTTGTGTGCCAAATGCTTAGTATTTATTGTGCTGTATCCACACTGTCTCGAACTGTCTGGTGCTTGGGACCCACTTTCAATTATATCAGAGTAATCTCTGACATGCTATATACTCGTATACAGTAGTACTGAACATTTAAGGGTTGACAGTTCAGTACTGATTCTTGTGGTTCACAGAGTAGTTAAATGAACTACTTTGCTTTGTTGAGAATATTTGAGCTTGCCTAAAATCATTGGTGGGCACAGCTAAACGAAAAGTTAGCTTTGCTAACCGCTAATCTGCTAACTAAAAAGTTAACTTCGCTAACGCTAAACCGTTAAACAGCTAAAAAATTAGCGGAAGCCATTGCTAGCCGCTAACTTTTATTATATGAATTTAGCTTCGTTTTTTGGGGTGGAGGGGGGGGGCTCTAAAACCCTTAAAAACAGACCTAGAGAGCTGAAATTTTCATATGTTGTCTTGTAGCTTAGACATAGAGCTTTCCAAAAAGGTATAGCATGCCAAGATCAGATGATCAAGGTGTACACAAATAATTAAATGAACAAATGAAATTAAACATTAGTTTACATTCAAGTTTCAACATACACTTTATGATCTTTATTTACTGTACGAAAAGACAGAAAGTATTAAACGAATCCAAAAACTATAGTACTGTATAGCATAGGTAGCAAATAGCATCATGCCAAGATCAGATGATGATCAACTTATCAAGGTGTACACTGTACACAATTTCACAAATAATTAATTTGCATTCTCATACAACCTATCGGCCTTATTCATTATTCATGTAAATATGCAATACGGTCGTTGGAGACACGCGTCGCGGCGTCACACACTTACAACAGACAGGAACAAACATGTATAAATTTTGTTAGCGGACTTAAAGTTAGCGGACTTAAAGTTAGCGGAACTAAATTTAGCGGAAGCTAATTGGTCTGCTAGTGGTTTCCAAAGTTCGCAAAAGCGCTAATCCGCTAATGAGAAAGTTAGCTTCGCTAATTAGCGGTTAGCGGAACCGTACCACCACTGCCTAAAATTTTATGTTGTGCTTAGTTTAGTATTTTATATTTTAACCCTTAAATGGCAGCCATCACTGGTGGAAGTAGGGACAGCTACCATCATCTGTGGAAGTTTCATGTTCATTTGCATTCCATTTTCGTGCATATGGGGGAGGGTAATCCTTAGCTGCTGAATAAGGGTTAAGTAAATATATATACAGTTGGTCCTCATATTACGCGGTCCCGCATTCCGCGTTTCACCTTTAACGCGGTGCCTTGCCAGAACCTAACATTTTCACATTTCGCGATCGTGAACCCCATTACGCGGAGAGCGGCTGGCAAGCCGCGCCATTTTTGGATCCAAACCTCCCGCCATCCGCCATGTTGTGTAAGAGGCGCGAAAATGGTGCGCACAAGGTCGCCCAGTCATCAAAACATGACCAGTTCTTCACCCGCCACCCACTACAGCCGGCCCAAGTCAGTGATAGTGATAATTATAGTGAGGATATGGACTTATATGAACTTTGGGGGGTTTGACAAAGAGGCCCTGCAAGCCTCTGTGGTGGATAGTGATACAATTGATACAAGTGATACAGGTGAGGGCCAATAATCTGCCCTCTGCCTCGGAACCAACCGCCCATCCCCGTGTGCCCAGCCATCTTTTCTACTAATGTAAGTGTTAAAAAACCTAATATTATTAATATTTCTCTTAATTATTAATTGTGTGTGCATGCCATCATAAAGTTAAGATAATATTTTTACTACAACATAGTTGTGTGTCGTCAAAAAGTGGAGTTTGGGGATCGGCCCGGACTCCATTTCAATTAATCCCATATGTTATGTTATTCACTTTACGCGTTTCTCACTTTCCGCGGTACCCTCCGGGTTACATTAACCGCGTAATATGAGGACCAACTGTACTGTATCTTGAGCCTAATCTTCATCTGATTTATAGACTGTATAAGCATTTCCATCATAATATTGTAATCATCCATAATGCAAACCTTTCCTTTATTCAGAATTTGGTCATTCTTGTTGGATTTTAAATACGTAGTATAAATACCCAGATACATGTACAGGTATTCCATATACAGTACCAACCAGCTTCACACCTGTTCCCTATCTCCCTGGATTCTCACAACCGAAGAATCTAGTTTTACCAAAACATGAAGTAAGATATTGCACTTGGAAATGAACTATTCATTTCCCACTGAACTCTCACCTGAAAACCTGCTTCTTCCCATTGGTTCTACCTATCATGGCTCAAAACCATAAAATGAAAACAAGCTACAGTACTTCATACATTGGAACACTCAAAGAATACATTACCTTATGAAACATATATTTTTATTTATTTATTTATTTTTTTTTAGAATGGCCTCCAGCCTCCCCCAATAGCCATACCTTCTCCACCATTTTATTACCTTAATATTAAATATTCTAATACATAAGTAGCTATCCTAGCCGTGTTGAGTTAGTTGAGCCGCAGATCTATGCGGCATTCATTGACTATAGCCTCATAACAATATCTGCAACCGTTGTCGGCTTTAGGGCCGATGCTCTCGGTCCCCTGAGGCAGAGCAAAGCCAACCGAAGGAGAGAGAAGGACAGTCGACATCTCATCCAGGCTGTAACATAACTTCTGGGCTGCTGCGTCTGTTTGGAGATCACCTCCGCGAGTCTGGCATAGAAGCATCTTGCACTTGGTCCCATCCCAACAGAGGTTGTGAACACTAGAGGAGTGAAGCTACCTTCATCACCATTCTGAATTCTCTCCCCGTATGCCCTTATCTTGTCGTTCTCGTTCCTCCTGTGTGCAGCATCGAGAGCTGAGTTACGGTGACATGCGGCCATGGGATAAAAAATCCTGATGTCGAAGAAGGTTCGCTGTCCCCACGTCCAGAATCCTTGAGCACTGACGTCAACACGGGCTTCGTTGGATGTGTTTGAAGTCCTATGTTGGAAAATCTCTCCGTCCAATGGAAGGAGGGTCGGTTTTACCCTGACCTCACAGCATATTTGCTGTGAGATCCCTTACTTCGTCATGCCTCATGCATATGAAGCCCCCTTTCTTGCACACCATGGCGTGATCGACATCATAGGAAGAGCCACAGATGCATTGGGAGGGCAAACCTTCTACTGGCCTACCGTACCTTAGAGCATTGGCATCAGTAAATTCTTGTTTATTGAGACTGAAACCATTTGCCCTTATCGGTAATGTAGTTAACCAGTTCGAGGCGCCCACCTCCTGCGCTATAGCTACTTTTTTTTTTCAAATTCTTTGGTACTTGCAGCAACAGTTGCTGCAACTTATCACTTTGATCGTGCTGTCGTTCTGTCGTAATGGACTTTCTAATCTTGTTTACTTCACTGGTGTCCACCTCCCCTGTTGCGTTCTGAGCTATTATGTGGTCCGTGAGGGCTGCTGTGAGCTTAACTGAGTTTTGATGTTCGGTGGCAGCAATCTCCTCTGGATTGGTCAATCCCATTCCTCCCAGTCTTGGTGGTAGTGCAAGGAGTGATCTTTCTGCTGGGGTTAAGTGAGGGTGTTTCACTAATTTGGGAATGAAATTGACGCTGATAGCTTCTTCCAGACGGTGGAGGAGGGGTCCGATATCAGGGATAGTGCGCATCAGGTAGTTCCAGCGATGCTTGACTCCATGGGTGAATGTCGCAAAAGCCGCATGTGGCTCTGTGTTAGCAATCTCAGAAGAGCTTGGGTTTCCCTAACCCACTCATTCACCTTTCCCGTTACGTTCTCGGTCTTGAAGTCCATCATGCCGATTACTGTGCCTAGGTGTCTTTGGCCATCCTTTGTTATTTTGACCTCACTTCCACCGAACACCCCCATTGCCCGTTCATAATGTTCTGGCTTTACAATGAGGAAGGACTTGCTGGCGTTTGGGTGGTACCCTAACGAATATTTAGGTATTTTGCTAGAAATCTTTGGAATATTTAGGCAGGTTATTGTTGCATGGGAGGATGGTGTATGTATGAGTGGTAGGCTCTGTGAGACATGGTTCATGCTTCATTTAAAGTGGGGGCCTCGTGACAATGCACACCAATTCACGAATGTGTGAGTTTGGCATTGTGATGGACAAATTAGTTATACAGTATATAATTTTTCACATATAAGTAGGTTTATGTTGCTCAAACTTTTATTTGATGAGGTACAAGTGTACTGAGAGGCAGGAAGTGGCATGGTGCAGTACATGATTTCACCTGTATAGACTAATCTATCAACCACTTAATAAATTTCTGGTTGAAAAATGGTCCTTGCATACGAATAACCGAAATTCTGCATGATGAATTTATAGCATTGAGAAGGTAACAAATTTTTTTTTTTAGAATACATTAAGCCTAGATGCTATAATTAAAGAGTACAAGGAAGGAAAACTATTACTTCACCTAACCTACCTAATTGGCTGAACCACTGTACAAAAAACAGTGGATAAAATGCAACAAAATTAGGAAATTTCATCTAACTTATTTTACTACCAGAACTAAATCATTGCAGTTAGACAATAATGCTGTTCTCAATACAAAAAAGATATAAATACAACTACAATGAATTGTCTGTTGACTTTGTCGGCAGCATTGAACTATATTTATTATAATTAGGAGTTTGCTTTATATCGACATGGGTAGAGCCCCTATCACCTAGTTAATGAGGTTTTACTGTACTTTGGAGATAATGATATTTTCTGATGGTGTGGCATGTTAGTGGCCATGTTTTGTGGTGGCACATGTTAGTGGCCATGTGTTGTGGTGGTGGCACTTATTAGAAACCATGTGTTGTGGTGGTGGCACAGCTCAGAGCAGAGTTCCTGATGCATTTAGGTGGATGCAGTATTGTTTTCTTGAAGAGGATGTACAGTATATAGAATACAGTACCTGTACTTTAGTTTCACATAATTTTCCTCTAGTGTGAATATATTAGACTTATTCACCCTCAAGGCATATATATTACCAACATTTCCACTTCTTGTGAATCAAGGTAAGAGAGGATTTCATGTTTGCTTCATCATCCCGAGAAAGCTACATTGGATACTTGGAAGCCACTGTAATACACAGAACTAGTTCACAAGAGGTGCAAGTACCATGTAAGATTTAACATGTTGCACACAAAGTGTGGTGACAGTCACATTGTAGTGAGAGGTGCAGGACAACTGACTCCGCTTCTGTATCCTTAGTGGGCTTTCTGATTTGGGTGGGTGGAGGACACAGCACTAGGGACCGTTTAAGGGGATTTTGGTGTGCAATACAAAATTTACCCGTAATCACATTTTTAAGGAATTTTTTTTACTATAATGTGTTCTGTATGATCACATTATATGGGTTTTTTATTGAATAGATTATCCAATTTTGTGCTTCTCGTGTCCTTTGCTTGTGTGTGATATGTGTTTTACATATGAGTCTAGTTTACACTGGATTGTAAGACAATTTGATAACCTGTATAACCCTTAAATATTTGGGTCAGATTAAGATTTGTGGTCCTGAAGAACTCAAAACCTAGATTATCAATGATGTAAACGATTTTTTTGTGGTACAGCACAAGGGTGTCTTATCAGGCAGTCATATTTACACATGCTGCATTAGTAAGCTTGCACCAAAGTATTTATTAAGAGATAAAAGTCTACCATTTTTTATTAAAAATCTTGCTCCCACTCTTCCAGACGTTGACATCAGAATTCCGTCAGCGTGATCAGGAGCAGAAAGGAATTGCCACCTTTACTTTTGATCAGTATATGTTAGTCATGGCTAAAATCTTGTAAAGTTGTCAGTGTCGATGGTACTGAGATGGCTACTGTTACATGTAGGTTAAACACAGTTTTGAGCATGATAAATATAACTCATTCTTAAGATTTAGATGGTGACATCAACAACACACAGTTAAGTAAATAAGTCTGCTGTTGATGGTGCTCTAAATGTAATTATAGTGAATAACTTAGTATAGAGTTTGCAGCAGTAGTAATAACACTTCACATAATGAAATGAGATGTGCACTTTGTTGAGCTTGAGTGCTTTAATTTTTAAGAAATTGTTACCCCCCAAAATTGCGCTTAGCTATGTAAAGTACTGGCCATTTGTAAAAGCTTTTAATGTATATTCAGGGAGGACCATCCAAAATTTTTGATATTTTTATGGAGTGTCCAAAGTTTCTTTTTTACGCAAACTACAATTTACTTTATTAAAGATTTTGTTTAGCTCACTCCAATTTCACGTCATGTTATTTTATAGTCTTGTTCTTCAAACACCATTTACAATATTAGCTTTTGAAATATATGACATGGAGTATGATAGAGCAAGAAGGACATGAAAAATTTTGTATTTTGTTCTGAAATTTCTTGGAAGACAGGTGTAACTACTTTGAAATATATATTTTTATATTATTTATATATTTATTTATTTATTAATTGTTGATAGAAATACCTTTTTTATATTTACTTTAACAGCTGATTGTTCATTTTATTTCTGGAAGATCATCATTTACTTGGCTCTCTTTCACAGTTAGGGGGTGGGGTCAGAAGAGAGACCATTTTTTACTTTTTAAGAAAATGTTGATAAATTATGGATGGTCCCTTACTGATTCATCTGTTGTAATTATTCTAGAACTTTTCATAATTAATTTTTTATGGAATGATTAGCTACACTAAAAAAATGGGACTGGCAAATCCATAGAATCTTGCCTGAAAGTTTTACAGAGAAAGAAATATATTGATGAAAACCCATGCTGTTATGGACTTGCATGTTAAAAACATCAATTGATTAATATTTTTAAAAGAATGCATTAATGAGTCTTCATTTTAAAATGGCACAATGCATTAATGGGATAATGGATGGGGAATCTTTTAAGGAAATTCTTTTGCAATGCAGTACAGTATTCTAGTCAGGTTTGTGGTATTGTGATGTCCTTTGTTTTCAGAACTTACTATGGCAAGGAGGCATTTCAACCTGGAGGATTAGTTGGTTGTCTTTTTGCTACTTTAATTATTGAGTTGCTGTTTTATGTTAAGATAACTGGATTTGCAGATAACATCAGTCTTGAAGACATTCACCCCACATTACTTGGAAGTTGAGAAGCACAGTAGTAATATAGTATGAGGATATTAGACTCAACATTTTGGTCTTTGGTAAATGTTAATGCATTGATGTGTGGTTTCAGAGGTAGATTTGTTTGCGTAAGTGTCAAAAGAGGTTGGATTATTCTTTCGTTGTTTTTTGGATGCAGGATCTTGTACAGGTACTTACATTTAGTAAATAAATATTCACTTTAGATTTTGATACTTCGTATCACTTAATAGTATGAATTAAAATTACAGTACTTGCTTATAAACAGGTTGAGTGCATTCATCTTTTGATGGTTCTCACACTTGTGCCCCTACTACAGTATTAATATTTCCCATCTTTTAAGTCCACTACACAGACATTGCTATTTTCCATTAGTGTCTGTTACTTGCCTCCCAACCTCTTTGTCTTTCATTATTCAGTAAGTATAATATACCTCCATTAAGTTGGCCTAATTGGTGTAAAACGGTTTGTATTTTCTCAATGATTCCCAGGTTATGAAATAAAAAACCGTTTATGGTAATTTTGATTAATTTGCATAATTTCACCATATACTGTACAGTAGTCAGTGTATAAACCACCTAAAATTACCTTGTGCCTTATATATAGATTAAGAACTGTAATGGTTGGTGCTGATGCTTTGTTAAATTACTGGGCTTGTTTAGTGTTACTGTTGGTGCGCAAGGTCGAACGCAAAGCCACACCTCTTTCTCTTTTAGGTTGTCAAATCAGGGACTTTCTCTCACAGAAGCCAGATGCTTTATCAACTCTGTTGGGACATTACCTGCCAAAAGCTCATTCACATTCCTCCCCAGAATCTCAAGTAAAGGCATAGATAACTAAAGGAAAGTGAAGTCCATATGACACCTCTCCTTGACCTCCCTGGACACCCACCCTCTTGGTTGTTTGGGCTTTCGGCCTATCTACTCCAAGGTCATTAAGGCTGTTAATGTCAAGCTACATCCACGAGCCTTAACACCTTCTTTGGGTGTTGAGGATAATTCTAAGACCACATACACTCTCACTTGTGCCTTCCAACCCTACCTGGGTCTGCCACCCCTAGCTCTCCCCCCTTCAATACATCCCCCCACCTTCTTGTGACCCGTCGTATAGAAAGGCCTTGAGCTCATGGGTATGGTAATAGGAGGGATGGATGATTAGTTTTGACCGTGACTGAACTTAGGTTACCCCAGTCATGCTGCCAGGAACAGGCCATCCTTTTATAAAAAAGTACTGTACTGTATCAGTACAGGTAAACCTTGATTTACGATAATTTGCTTTAACAATGGTGATGTTTAAGACCGCCTTCCTATTTACGATAAAAAAAATTGCATTAATGATGGCCATCGTTCGGCCAAACATACTGAAAAACTGATCATTCGTGCAAAATGATCGCTAAATGAGGGATAACAAGAAATTATATCCTAGAGGAGAAATTATATCCGTTGAGATGGCACTTACCGGGTAATTGTGTAGCAGAGTCTTGGACTCACCAACAATAGCACTCAGAGTGGGTGAAGCTGTGTTATTGTTCAACACACAATTTCAGGTAGATATAAGTAAATTTTTTTTACTGTTACATGCACACACACACATAGTGCAAAAAGAAAATTATCGTAAGGTCAAAACATAAGGAAACAACCATTTCTTACGTGCACATGGAGTTAACCCTCAGAGCAGGAAGGGGATGGAGGGAGAGGGCGTGGGGGATATCTTGGCTACTCTCTGTCTTGTATCCTGTAAAATGATTGCCAAATGGCAACACAGTGTTATTTCTTTTATTATATTGATTATTATTTTTATTATTTCCTCACATTTATTGTGATGTTGAGGTACTTTTTGCTCTGTTTTTGTGATTGTGAAGTGAGCAGTGTAACTTAGAAAATGTCACAAGCGGTTAGTGTAATAGAAGCAAGAAATAATAATGTAAATATGGAAAAAACAGACAGGTACAGTAGTATTCTATTTATGTATCTGATAGTTTTGCCCTGCTGTAATTTGTAGCAACAGTAGAAACAACTTTTGAAATGAGTTATGCATTTCTGTAATCAGTTATATGTAGTCGATTTACTGCCAGGTAAAATATGAGAAATATGTATATGTACCTGTATATTTTTTTTAATATCCAAAAATCTAGTGCACAGTAGGTGGGTGTTGGGTCACAAGCTGACCGCAGTGAAAGGATTAACCTTTAAACTGCACCACATGCCAATTGATGCACATTTTCTGCAACTGTTCCGCCTATCAATTTATGCAATGAATTTTCCCGCCAACTTTCAAGGCAACAGATGGCATATGGTTGCTCCAGGTGCCTATAGGTTTCAGTACTAATACAGGAAGATAAGCGAGCCTACTCATGTCTTATGCTTAGTTACGCTGTAACTCCGAAGCCGAAGCATTCTAAGTTTATTGCCCAGATTAAGTGCCAAAAGATTTTCTTCAGCAGTGACGAATCTGAAGTACCGTATTGGGTGTAATGTACCTGTATCAGCATCAGAAATACATGGAGTCATTTATTATAATGAAAGGCTGATAGTCACTTTTTCTGGGTTTCCATTACCACATGTTCTACACACACATTGGGTTCAGGGAGGGGAAGAAATCTGAATTTATTTTTTATTATTATTTATTTTTACATAGAATTCTGTAATTTTGTAGATTTATTATTTTTTTCCTAAACACTCAAATTTATGTGCGTACAAGGTAAGGGGTGTGGGAAAGTGTTACCAGTTTAAGAGTTAATGTCTATTCTATTGTACAAAATGTTGAATAAGGGGGAAAACAATTTTCAAACGACAATACACTACTACTAATAATAATTAATCACATCACCAAAAAGCATGAGTAGATTTATCTTGATTGTGTGCGAATGCTCAAAAATCATTGCAGGTTAAGCCGCCCATATATGTAAAGATAGGATTTTTTTAACATTGTTACTGAATAACAATTATGTTACCCAATGAAATTTTTTTTGCTTAGGATTATTCTAAAAAGAATACTGCTTGAATGTACTTTGAGACTGTCACTCTTTTATAATTTGTTCTCTATAAATTTTTTGTCAAAATAGCCTGATTTTTAAGACAATTTTATTTAAATATTTTTGTAGTTTAACTTATGTATATTAATTTATTTTATTTTTTTTATATATACTGTATACGTATACGTAATTGTAAACATGTGTCTGTTGAAATACTTGTAATGTGCACACTTAACCATCGGGTACTCTTGGCCATGGTCAAAAATTTCACCCTCTCGCAGTAGTGTACTTCGATACAGGTTGCGTCGTTAACAAGAATGGATTTTCTAATTTAGTAAACATTGGATAGAGCGATTCAGACCCAAATTGCACCCTTAGAGACATACTTGCCAGCCCACGTGGCTAGTAGGAGGAACTTTGGTGGTTGATAAGGACAGTTCGCTGTTCCTGCATTTCTGCTGAGTGGGAGGGGTTGTTCCAGCATGGGAGTGCTTAGCGACGCAATTTTCGTTGAAACACTCCGAGAGGGTTAATTATTTTAAAAGACGTGCTACTGTACCTTGATAATTTTTATGATGAATTACTAATTTTTCTTTATACTGTAGTGTACTGTAATATAAAGGTCTCATTCTTGTTGCCCAATAAAATTTGTTTAAAAAAATCCTCTGCTGAAAGTTTTCTTGCTTCAGTTAGGACAGCACTTACAATTGATCAGTTTTACAAGTGTACATACAGGTGTGGTGCTTTCATACAGCATGAGTATAAGTAAAATTAGTATGCAGTATTCATGGTCTGATCCAAAAATTCCAAGACATTAGTTTTTTTGAAAACTAAAGATCACACGATAAATAAATACTACAGCTCCTCCCCGACTTACGACCTACGCGACTTACAACCTGCCTCAGTCGTACCAAAATTTGGTCAAATTACGTATTTTTGAGTCCCAAAATCAGTACACAGACAAAATTTTCATTTGTAATTCACTTTAAAAAGGTTGGCAAGCTTAAAAGTGAGTTTTGTGGTGCTGAGAAAGAAAAAGAGACACCCACTTTAGATTTCCTATGTATTATTTAAGCATTTCCGACTTACGACCATTTCGACTTACGACCTGGATTTGGGTCCCTAACCCCGTCGTATGTCGGGGAAGAGCCGTATATCACCTTCAAAGTTGTCTCCTCTATAGTGTACCTATTGACCCCAGCTGCCCTTCCATGTTGAAGCATCTCTGATACAGGTATCCCTTGCTATACGAACATTCAAGACATGAAAATTCGCATATGCGAACTTCTTAAATTACCGCCTCTTTTGCGTGTTACGAAAGCTTCCCCCGCTTTTATAAATATGGATCCTGGCAACAATTCAAATTGTACACCCCCATGAGTTAGCTGGGGCGGTCACATCCTCCTAGCGCTCTCCCTACCAGGCTCGTAAGGTTGGGTAGATAAACAAGATAAACATTACGTTCTTCATATTTTTTTATTCAGTTACATGCACAACACTATAATACATACAGAATGTGCAAAAGAAGAATTCATCAAAAGGCTAAAACATAAAGGGATTATTAAATATTTCTTTGTTCTCCAGCAAGAGTTAGCAGGATGAGCTAGGGGAGTTATGTTATGGTTATTTATTAACTTGTAATTTCAGGTAAACAAACTTCACACAATTCTACATAAATAATGTGCCAAAAAGGTAAAATGAATCATTATCATGAGTTTATAAATTTAAAGGGGATAAACATTTTTGTGTGTGTGAGAGCGGAAAGAGGAGCATTGCTAAAGGTCGGCAGAGGCAGCGTCCCCAGCTGGGCTGTGTTGATAGGACGAGGCTTGAGGCCATACTGCCAGCGTCTTTGCAACTGCCAGTGATTAACTTTCATGTAGCTTTTCCTTAATGGTTTTAGTTGCATATTTTCATCTAGATAATATTTTATTAATGATTTTAATGTGTTAGTTTACAAATTACAGTACAGTAAGTGTATAATGTTTATCATAGTTAGGTAGGGTTTTTTGATATTAGTGAACGAAACCCTATTTTTCCCTTATGTTCTTTTATTCGCAATATAAAAATTCACTTAACGAAGGGTTTTTCAGGAACCTAACCCAATTGTACAGCGAGGGATACCTGTACTCTATTTACGGAATAACATTTAATTCGCATGCTGTATTTTGTATGATCTGTGATTCGTCCTGAAGTCTCTATTTTTAAGGTTCTTTTAAGCTTGTTAAGCAAAAAAGGCAGATGGTGGTGGATATGGCAAGTGGGAACCCTTGGAATGTTATACTTGGCCAAGAATTTTCTTATGTTGAATGAACATTCGCAAAAGTGATGTCAAAATTCAACACTTAGGTGCCTCAGACTGACCAACTTAAACTCCTGAGTGATCATCTGTCTTTGTGAATGAACTCATTGTGTTCTTGGTATTTGCTTTGCAAGTCCTGGAATTTTTTTATAAGACCTTAGATGCTGCACACTTAGCCACTTGATGTCTACACCAAGAGCTCATAATCTGTGTGAGGGTATGCATCTGTGTTGGGTGTGATATTAATTATGGGTCTTAACAGTGTAAAGTACTACCTGTATATTGTACAAGCTTTACACTTTTTAGTATTATTTTTGTCAGCCACCTGTCAGGAAATGTGGGTTGATTTTCATTGATTGATAGTTTGGGATTGAAGTTAGAATTAATTTTTTTTTGATACTGTAATTAGGAAATGTGAAGTTAATTTTCATTAGCTGACAGTCAGGAGAAGTTTATATGTATATTATTAGTTACAAGTTTTATAGCTGTGTCTTAAATTTACAGTTTTTACAGTACGAGTACTGTATTGTTTGCTTCATTTCATGTGTTTTCTGAATGTCTCTCCTGATTGCCAGACACATTTAGAGAATTTTTTTTACCTCATGTGTGATCTATCTGCTTAAAGTCAACCATGCCAAGTTAATGACCAACTTTTTTTGGTTTTTAGAAGCCACACTAATTATAGTCAACAAAACTTTATAGAACAATAATGTACAGTACAAGATGATTTTTATTTTGTACAAACTGCAGAGGAGATTGTTTTTAGAGAAGAATCTACAGGCATGTTTAAATTGAAGTTGATGAAATTTTTTTTGAGTATTACAGGTTATAGATATAGATATTTTTGCTTATGTAAATGTAAAGCTAACATAAATTATGCTTGTGAGTGATAAAGACAATTAGTTGCAACTTCGATTCATCGTTATAGCATGTTTTGCCGTGAACAAATATTTTTTCATTGATTTAAAAGTGCCTTCTTCCTTCCAGACTCTAACCCAGGCCTTTAGCTACCATGACTCGGATCGCGATGGCGTCATCACAATTTCTTATGAACAATTTCTTCACATGGTGTTCAGTCTCAGAGTGTAGACCTGGATAACTCATAACATAATTGCAGCAATATTCAACCAACTTGCTCTTGCTTTGACTTAGTTGAGTGAAGCTATTTATAATAAGTTAGTTTAATTATCTTACACAAATTTTAGTAACTTTTTAAGAATATTATTACATGATAACTTAGGAAAACCCTATTAAATGTAGGCGAGGTTATGATTATAAGACTGAGTCATTTACTCTGAGGGATGATTCAGCAGGTTTTGATACTCTACTGTTTACAGTGTCTGTTCCTCACCTGCTCCTACAATTCTCTGGACTTTTATCTTAGCCTTAATAGTACAGTAATGAGAGATACTGAAGCTTTCGTGATACTGTACAGTACTTAGATTGTGATCTAGATTTTCATCTTACTTACATTAATTACTAAGAATGCGTTACACATATGGCATTATAGTGCGTATGTTTGCAGATCATAAAATTCTTTACATTTAGTATGTGTAGCTTTTCAGTGTATTGTTTCTTTAATAGCTAATTGCAGCATGAATAGATGTAATAGATTTAATGTTATGCATTATGAGGTCTGCATAATATGCACCAACTTTTTTATGAATATTATTTTACTTAATTATTGTTGTATATTATTAATGACAATGAGGATTTCTGAAGGTTTTCAGTTAAATGTTTTAATACATACACAGTACTGTTATATATTTCTTTAATTCTTTTGACATATAGTATATGAATGTAAAGATAGGAATCAACCCAACTGTGCCCTACTATACAAAATATTTTAGAATGTCTTTTGTTGGTTTTCTGTCTTAGTTTTGGTGTACATATAGAAAAAAGTCCCTTATGCCCTACATTTTTTTATCTTTTGTATGGATGTCATTTAAGTCTATGACATTGAAAGTTATTTTCTTAAAATCCGTAATTGAGAATAACTTATTATGGAAACTGATTTACTCTTCAATTTTTTCTAATTACATGATAACCATATAGTCTTCATTAGATTTACTCCAATTAAGGCCTTGCAGTAGGTGTATTAATGGTCATTTAGGAAAAATATTTTAAACATATGTTACTCAGGAACAAGGATGTAATGTGTTCTGGACAGTTGAGATATCACATAGATAGTAGTGATATCCCCCTTAGCTGGAATAATTGGTGCAGAGCTCCTCCGGTGATGAGAGATTTCCAGGTAATGAGACTACTCTCTAAAAAATGGAAAAATCCCACATCCCCTTAACTTTTCCGGTACAGTAAAGCCTCGAGTAACCACAGTAATGTGTCCGCCCAATATTGCAGTGTAAGGTGAATCATTGTATCATGAATCATTAATTACCATTAACATAAAGCAATAATAATGAGATGCATTCCCCAGTGTGACCTTTTCATAACTTTTGTGTGGCCTTTTACCCTCTTTTCCCCCAAAACAATACAATTAATGAAAAATGCAAACTATATTCTTTAAATACTGTAATGTTTATGAATGCACCTTATACAATATAAATCAATAATAATAAGTTCACACAAGAGGAGATGGGAGGCTATTGTTGTAGTCGTGTTTACACCCATACCGGTAATCTCCGTTATCCATCTCCTGTAGTAAAATTAATGTAAAAAATATGTGTTTTAATTCATGTTATTTAGTGTACAGTAAAAGTAACCACTGATGCTAAAGAAAAAAGAGAGTGATAGTGGAACGGCAATGCATACTTACGCCCTCAAGGAAAACGTGGCATTTAATCTTATTAAGAATATGTACAAAAGATTCATTATTGTTTATTACTGAATATGTGGATTTGATTGAATTAATGTTTATATATGCGAAATGAACAATACAATTCATTAATAATACGTAGAATATTGAAACACACGAGAGGAGATGAGACGGCATTGTTTTCGTTCATGTTTACAACACCCGTGACGAATGGCGATGGTTCTACTTCTGCATAAGAAACTGAAGAAAATAAGACCCTGGTTCTTGCTGGAGTAAAATTAATGTAAAAAATTAATATGTATGTATTAAGTAATGTTATTTAATGTTAATAAATGGAACAATAGAAGTAGCTAACCATTAATGGTAAAGAAAAAAACGAAATAGATTGGGAACGCCATCGTATGCAAGTGCATATATGTGAAAACACTGCCATTTCTCTACATGAGAATCTGAAAGCAACACTTAGTACTTTTCATACATGTTTTAAATAATACTTATGTAAAACAAAAATTCTACTCACAAATGGTGGTTAAGTCTAAAACATAAGGATAGCCAATGTATATTGTGCGAGTTTTTGCTCAGATAGTTTCATCAATCAGGTTCAACTCTGGCTGAAGCTGAAGCTTTCCAGAAAGATATTATAGCTGTTGCTATAACTTACTGAATCTGAAGTTGTTGCTGAAGCTGTTTATAATGCTAAATTTGATGGTGTAGCTGAAGTTGGTGGTTTAAGCCTTTGAATAATAAAGCTGTCGAAAAAACCTTTAACAGCCACTTTCTTTTCTCATTGTACTTCTTTATGTCGAGGTCATATGTGTTTTTCACGTCCCTGTTAATTTTAATGCTTTGTTCTGTTAATGGATCCACTTCAGAAAATAATAATACGTTCATTGCTTTGCTCCCTATAATATCCACAGACCTCTCACCTTTTTTATATTTCTTGAACACATCTAGTCTCTCTGCTGAGCTTATAAACTTTCTTTCAGCTTTTGAACCAGCACGACTATCACTTGCTCTCTTGCTCATGTTGAATAGGGGCGCAAAAAATTCCGTAAGAAACCTGAGAATGTTTTTCTCCTTTTCCTATTCAGATGCATGAAAACAAAGGGCCTGCTAGCTGCGATTGTTTATACTAGTGATGCTAGCGTCACCCTCACAAGCCCGGCAGCCTCTGTGTGCAAGACGTATTTTTTTTTATTTTTTTTTTATAATACATATCGGGACTTAGCTATTATTAATCTGAAAACGTAATTTTACTTTATTTTTTATATAATTTTTTGGTCATAAATACGAAGAAAATAATGGTGCAAATTGAATTGGGTCCTAAATTAATCGGGGTCTTAAATACGAATCGTTGTTAGTTTCTCCCTCCCTCTCTCACTCAGTCACACCAACACCACCTTTGCCCTTGCAAGAAGTGTATTGTATAATCTTTTATTCACAGCATATATTCTATTTGTGTCAGAGATGAATTTGATACCATAATGATCCTAAATAAATTCTCTGAGACGTTTCCAGTAAGAGATCATTAAAAAAAAAGAATATTTTGTCAGGTGATCCATTATTGGGGTTTTTGAATATTGGGTCTCAGGGCCTGAAGATATTTTGAATAAAGATGAAAGCTAAGGTGCTCCAGTGTTTCCCACTTATTGAATGTACAGTACAGTATACGTAACTGTAATAAGTTTTTACGTTCTTAACACTGTATTCTTGACTGATTTTGTTCTGGTACAGTAATGTACAGCACTGCACAACACAAATTGTATGCAAAAACAGCAGCTAGCGAGGGAGTAACCTTCGACAATAGCAACAGAATATGAACTAAGTGATTCGAGCAGCGACGCCACCCACTCACTTGATACGTCTGAATGAGTTGGAGCATCATGTGATCTTTCGAACAGAGAAATTTGGAAAGATTTTCTCGGATATTCTCAGAAAATGTATCTGATTTTGAACCTCAGAAACTCTTTCACACACCCGGAATCGAGAGAATTTTTAAGGAAAATTCCGAGCTAATTTCAGTTCTGGGTATTGGAGAGTTTCAGCTAACGGAGATATTACTATACAGTATTCCAGGTGTTGAGTTAAGTTCAATATTCTGTAGTATGCAGCTGGTTGTATATATTAGCATATCTCTGTACTATATCCATTGTAAACTAGAATACATCCTTGTTTTTGAAAAGGTTTGTTGTTCCCTTTGTAGAGTGTATATGCCATACACGTGAAAGATTTTATATTTTTATATGTGTTGTATTATGTACAGTACTGTACATTAAAGGGAGAAACCTTGCAATTAAAGTTTTGTAATGGAGCAATTGGATTGTGACATCTTTAACCTAATCTTAGACAGATACATTATACTGTAAATGATAATAGAACAAATGAGTTCAGTATGTAGAAACACACAAAGATAATACTGTACAGTATGTGATTAGGTTTTAGGGAGAGATCTGTAATATTGTAAATACAGGTACAGCCATTCCCTGCTGTGTGGCAGGGTTCTGTTCCTGAAAAACTTTATGTAAATTGATTTTTCATATATTAAAACATTTTATCATAGACTCCTTGTAGAAGAGCTGAAATACATTTCTTTGAAAATTAAGAAGTTTATAAATCCACAAAATGGTACAAAACTTGTTTTTTATTAAACATTTTGATATACAGAACTGTACATAATGATTATAACCCAGTGATTCACATAAGTGAAATACAGGCCATACAGTTATAAAATTATATCCGTACTGTACACTAGATAGGTAACGAAATGAACAATGTAAAAACAACCCTAAATTTTCTATGGTAAAACATCCTACACTTGGCCCCAGATGAGTTAATATATCATCCTAAAATCCCATTGTGTTGTTTATATGGGGCAGATGATACTTTTGGCAGTGGTGGTGTTTTTGTTTGAAAATCAAAGCATAGGTAAAATATGTTCTTTCGCAATTTGAATTTTCGTAAACCGAAGCCTCATCATTTGGGGAATTCCTTTACAGATACAATAGTCCCCAATTTACAAAGGTTCGGTTTGTTAAAATCCAAAGTTACCAAAACATTAAAATTGAAAAAAAAGACCCTTGTTTCATTTTACAAAAAAATCTAAAGCTAAAAAAATTTCATCAATACAGCGTATTTCCTTAATAGTGAAATACAGTATGCACACACATTTATATTTTTAAATACCAATATGTTTAGTTAGTTCACTAACTTATTTCATTATTCTTAAACAATTTCAATTTTATTAAGACTACAGTACTTGTACAGTACTGTACATTATAAATAAGCTTTCAATGTGTCATCATTTGCCTACAATCAAAGTACTGTGTACTATAACTTACTCCTCAAACACACTGAAGACAAGTAAACTCATCTCCATTAGCACACAGCCACTCTGCCAGTATCCTAATTGTCCAATTTCTCTTCTTTTACTCTTGTGTAATATGTGGCAAATTAAATGAAAGAATAAGGGTGTAGAGTTGTAAGAGAAAGTGTGGAATTTGGAAGTGAACAAAAGTTTGGAGGCGTGGTTATTGCTGGCAACATGACTGACTAATGGTAACATTCACACCACGTGAACAAAGTAATGGGAATTTAGGATGATGTAATTACTCATCAGCATTTTCTTTTTTTTCCTTTTTTTGTAGAGAACCTATCTCCAGTTATAGAATGGAAGTCAATGTACAGTATTACCATAGTAGTACAGATACTGTGCATATATTTACTGTATTTTAAATGTTGACTTAATGCTTCATACTGTTCACTTTGTTTTAAATCTCATCTGGTTTTTCGGAAGTACGTACAGGTATAAAATTATTACTGGTATTGTACTGTACTTCACTTAATATGCCTATTGTTGGGTTATTTTCATTGTGTACAGTATTCCAAAAATTGCCATTAGAAACGTGGTTTGTGGCATTTTAAGAGATTTTGAGGAGGAATTTTTGTTTATCGGAATGTATTTCAACTTTCATCATGGCGTTTATGGGAAAATGTGCTCCAATTTATGAAAAGTTGATTTATGATTTGTTTTTCATTAATGGAATCCTTTGGTAAATCGAGGAATGTTTGTACAGGTATAACATTGCCGAAACTGTAGTAGTTACTGTATTAAGAATGCTTAGTTTGATTTTGCATAATCATTGCTATTCAGGGCAAACCCCATCAAGTTATTGAAATAAGAAAGACAAAAAATTTTCTAAGGTGCAGTGAATTATTTCCATGGTATCAAATTTCATTTCTCATGTGTTTGGGGTGAATCACTGGAAACACCAGGAAAAGGAAGAAATGGTAAAGAAGAAAATTGGAGAAACAAGTAGGAAGTAACAAGAAAGGGCAGACACAAGAAGTACAGTATAGGGAAGCCTCAATTACAGTGTCCTGATGTACAAGACTTGTAGTTAGAAGAAAAATGTATCAAATTTCAGAATATGAGCAGAAACCCCAAAGTTAATTTTTTTTCCATTATATTGTATTATTATGGCATCAGAGGCTGCCAAGATAGTGACATAGACATCTGAAGACATTGTTTACCATACTAGGACAGTTTGACAGTTATTTAATTAAAGTACAGTATTACCCCGTTATAAGCGTTTTTTTTTTTTTTACGCGTTTTGTAAGTTTAAGCGGTACCCAGCCAGACCCGGAATGTTCACTTTACGCGGTGCATCTACTCTTTTACACGGAGAGCAGCTGGCGGTCATC